GGGCACTGGTGAACGGCGGTGTGAGGCCCCATGACGGGCTGATCACGCTGATCACGCTGGCAACCGGTTAACCGGTAAAGGCCGTGATCAGGCCCATTCCATGGCCACACCTACCTCGGAATCACGCGGGGGGCTGTAGGGAGCACTACACGCAAGAACACAGTGCCCGGGCACTGGTGAACGGCGGTGTGAGGCCCCATGACGGGCTGATCACGCTGATCACGCTGGCAACCGGTTAACCGGTAAAGGCCGTGATCAGGCCTATTCCCTGGTCACACCTACCTCGAAATCACGCGGGGGGTTGTAGGGAGCATCTACACGCAAGAACAAAGTGCCCGGGCACTGGTGAACGGCGGTGTGAGGCCCCATGACGGGCTGATCACGCTGATCACGCTGGCAACCGGTTAACCGGTACAGGCCGTGATCAGGCCCATTCCCTGGTCACACCTAACTCAAAGGCACGCGGGGGGGCTGTAGGGAGCATCTACACGCAAGAACAAAGTGCCCGGGCACTGGTGAACGGCGGTGTGAGGCCCCATGACGGGCTGATCACGCTGATCACGCTGGCAACCGGTTAACCGGTAAAGGCCGTGATCAGGCCTATTCCATGGTCACACCTACCTCGGAATCACGCGGGGGGTTGTAGGGAGCATCTACACGCAAGAACAAAGTGCCCGGGCACTGGTGAACGGCGGTGTGAGGCCCCATGACGGGCTGATCACGCTGATCACGCTGGCAACCGGTTAACCGGTACAGGCCGTGATCAGGCCCATTCCATGGCCACACCTACCTCGGAATCACGCGGGGGGTTGTAGGGAGCATCTACACGCAAGAACAAAGTGCCCGGACACTGGTGAACGGCGGTGTGAGGCCCCATGACGGGCTGATCACGCTGATCACGCTGGCAACCGGTTAACCGGTAAAGGCCGTGATCAGGCCCATTCCATGGCCACACCTACCTCGGAATCACGCGGGGGGCTGTAGGGAGCATCTACACGCAAGAACACAGTGCCCGGGCACTGGTGAACGGCGGTGTGAGGCCCCATGACGGGCTGATCACGCTGATCACGCTGGCAACCGGTTAACCGGTAAAGGCCGTGATCAGGCCTATTCCATGGTCACACCTACCTCGGAATCACGCGGGGGGTTGTAGGGAGCATCTACACGCAAGAACAAAGTGCCCGGGCACTGGTGAACGGCGGTGTGAGGCCCCATGACGGGCTGATCACGCTGATCACGCTGGCAACCGGTTAACCGGTACAGGCCGTGATCAGGCCCATTCCATGGCCACACCTACCTCGGAATCACGCGGGGGGTTGTAGGGAGCATCTACACGCAAGAACAAAGTGCCCGGGCACTGGTGAACGGCGGTGTGAGGCCCCATGACGGGCTGATCACGCTGATCACGCTGGCAACCGGTTAACCGGTAAAGGCCGTGATCAGGCCTATTCCCTGGTCACACCTACCTCGGAATCACGGGGGGGGCTGTAGGGAGCATCTACACGCAAGAACACAGTGCCCGGGCACTGGTGAACGGCGGTGTGAGGCCCCATGACGGGCTGATCACGCTGATCACGCTGGCAACCGGTTAACCGGTAAAGGCCGTGATCAGGCCCATTCCCTGGTCACACCTACCTCGGAATCACGCGGGGGGTTGTAGGGAGCATCTACACGCAAGAACAAAGTGCCCGGGCACTGGTGAACGGCGGTGTGAGGCCCCATGACGGGCTGATCACGCTGATCACGCTGGCAACCGGTTAACCGGTAAAGGCCGTGATCAGGCCTATTCCCTGGTCACACCTACCTCGGAATCACGCGGGGGGTTGTAGGGAGCATCTACACGCAAGAACAAAGTGCCCGGGCACTGGTGAACGGCGGTGTGAGGCCCCATGACGGGCTGATCACGCTGATCACGCTGGCAACCGGTTAACCGGTAAAGGCCGTGATCAGGCCCATTCCCTGGTCACACCTACCTCGGAATCACGCGGGGGGCTGTAGGGAGCACCTACACGCAAGACCACAGTGCCCGGGCACTGGTGAACGGCGGTGTGAGGCCCCATGACGGGCTGATCACGCTGATCACGCTGGCAACCGGTTAACCGGTAAAGGCCGTGATCAGGCCTATTCCATGGTCACACCTACCTCGGAATCACGCGGGGGGTTGTAGGGAGCATCTACACGCAAGAACAAAGTGCCCGGGCACTGGTGAACGGCGGTGTGAGGCCCCATGACGGGCTGATCACGCTGATCACGCTGGCAACCGGTTAACCGGTACAGGCCGTGATCAGGCCCATTCCCTGGTCACACCTACCTCAAAGGCACGCGGGGGGGCTGTAGGGAGCATCTACACGCAAGAACACAGTGCCCGGGCACTGGTGAACGGCGGTGTGAGGCCCCATGACGGGCTGATCACGCTGATCACGCTGGCAACCGGTTAACCGGTAAAGGCCGTGATCAGGCCCATTCCATGGTCACACCTACCTCGGAATCACGCGGGGGGCTGTAGGGAGCATCACCACGCAAGAACACAGTGCCCGGGCACTGGTGAACGGCGGTGTGAGGCCCCATGACGGGCTGATCACGCTGATCACGCTGGCAACCGGTTAACCGGTAAAGGCCGTGATCAGGCCCATTCCATGGCCACACCTACCTCGGAATCACGCGGGGGGCTGTAGGGAGCATCACCACGCAAGACCACAGTGCCCGGGCACTGGTGAACGGCGGTGTGAGGCCCCATGACGGGCTGATCACGCTGATCACGCTGGCAACCGGTTAACCGGTAAAGGCCGTGATCAGGCCCATTCCATGGCCACACCTACCTCGGAATCACGCGGGGGGCTGTAGGGAGCATCACCACGCAAGAACACAGTGCCCGGGCACTGGTGAACGGCGGTGTGAGGCCCCATGACGGGCTGATCACGCTGATCACGCTGGCAACCGGTTAACCGGTAAAGGCCGTGATCAGGCCCATTCCATGGCCACACCTACCTCGGAATCACGCGGGGGGCTGTAGGGAGCATCACCACGCAAGACCACAGTGCCCAGGCACTGGTGAACGGCGGTGTGAGGCCCCATGACGGGCTGATCACGCTGATCACGCTGGCAACCGGTTAACCGGTAAAGGCCGTGATCAGGCCCATTCCATGGTCACACCTACCTCGGAATCACGCGGGGGGCTGTAGGGAGCATCACCACGCAAGAACACAGTGCCCGGGCACTGGTGAACGGCGGTGTGAGGCCCCATGACGGGCTGATCACGCTGATCACGCTGGCAACCGGTTAACCGGTAAAGGCCGTGATCAGGCCCATTCCCTGGTCACACCTACCTCGGAATCACGCGGGGGGCTGTAGGGAGCATCACCACGCAAGAACACAGTGCCCGGGCACTGGTGAACGGCGGTGTGAGGCCCCATGACGGGCTGATCACGCTGATCACGCTGGCAACCGGTTAACCGGTAAAGGCCGTGATCAGGCCTATTCCATGGCCACACCTACCTCGGAATCACGCGGGGGGCTGTAGGGAGCATCACCACGCAAGAACACAGTGCCCGGGCACTGGTGAACGGCGGTGTGAGGCCCCATGACGGGCTGATCACGCTGATCACGCTGGCAACCGGTTAACCGGTAAAGGCCGTGATCAGGCCCATTCCATGGTCACACCTACCTCGGAATCACGCGGGGGGCTGTAGGGAGCATCACCACGCAAGAACACAGTGCCCGGGCACTGGTGAACGGCGGTGTGAGGCCCCATGATGGACTGATCACGCTGATCACGCTGGCAGGTAGTTGCCGGTTGGCGGGGGTTTAGCTCGATCGTGATAAGGACCGGCTAGCCGGATGACTTCCTTACTGGCATAAGAGACCGAAGACCACATGTTGTCAGCTCGAACGTGTATGTCGTAAGATTGAAACATAAATTAATATGAAAAAGGAATGCAACTCTCATCGGAAACTGACGTTAACATGCTATGTGCCGTAGTTTGGTACGTTAGTTCGTACGTTCCTCCCGATTACGATTCCATGGCTTTCCCTAACGTACGACCATTTGTAAACAGGTTAGGACGTCAAGGGCATGCTGATCGACTGTAGCTAAATTTCAATGGCCCGTGTTTAGCCGGCTTCTTTATCCTAAGTTTAAAGTTTGAAGCCACTTTCCTGTGTACAGTACGAATCCATTGTTGGCTAGGAGTGGTAGGAGAAGGTAAGAAGAGTAACGGTGTAGTGTGACCGTGGCTGACAAGGGCTCACGAAACAGGCGGGGATGGTAGACGCCCAGTGGTGCTGCTCACCTCGCATGTGCAACAAGGACTGTTCTTAACTTCATATCTCCTTTTACCCTATACCGCTGGTGTCAGATGCAGAAGTTGCCAACTTGTACTGTACTGTATCAAGATGCACCGCAAGCAGAATTCCCAATGAACGGTTTAATGTACCGGCGACATCTCCATCACGCCGCGGCTGGGCTTCCAGTGGCATGCCAAACGCCCCAAGGACGCCTCACGGTCCCGTGATACTTCTGTTGCAGCCCCAATGCAGCGTCAACCCCCGAGTCAGACCTCCAAACCTCAATTAGATGACAGCGCAACAACGGCCTGTGATCATGTGGAAGATACCACTCGTATCGGCCGTCCACCACTTCTCTATTGCCCCTGTGCAGGCTTCCACACCGCGTCCATGCTTCCCTAGATAATAATTAATCCCTAGATATCTCTGCCTAGCAACGTGTTTTCCCCCATACAAACTTTTACTACGGCAGTTTTTTAATACATTGCGCTTGTTCAGGTGATTATTCCCCATGCCAGCTTGCACGCCTTGCGGTGCAAGTATATCTACCTCACGCCTCATCTACCATAGGCGGACAGGACAAAGCCTGCTTGTGTTGCGTCTGCAGTCAACAAGTTCTACAGGAAGTCGGGACAACTATTCGGAATTACGTATATATGCGGTTTATCGTACATAGTGCGGAAGGATCCGTCTGCTCCGCAACGTTTAAGCTTAATGTTTTCCATCCTGCTAGATACCGTTCTACGCCTTGCCTCTCTTTTTATGTTTGAGTACTTTTGCCAATAGACGACCTCTTTTCTTATCTTCGCAATACGGGAGACGCTATCAATCAAAGTAGACACTACTTATAATGTTTGTCATACGGCACTCATAATATGACGCTATGCCGCTGTTGTGCCCACGGGCCTTAGAGCCGAATGCCGAAATCCATTGCACCCAGCGCAACCCATAGCGCATATACAGCTCGCTCATCAAGTGCGGTTAAAAGCTCGCATGTACGCGCGTCACAAGCTGGACCTCCCGCTGCCAATCGTACCCGGACATCCGGCGACATCAGCCGCTATGCCCCACCCAACATCAAACTTGTGGGCCCCCACGCGGACGAGCTCGAAACGCTCATCCAGCACTACGACTCGCTCATCGAGGCACGGGACAGCCAGATTGTGCTGCTCACAAGTCAACTGGAGTCTGAGCAACGAAGGTAAGGCGCTGTTGTGAGCCGCCCCGTCCCTCCCCTCCACTTGACCCCTCCCTCCCCTCTTCCCCTATGCTCAACCTGTTTACCCTCACCTTCCATCCGTCCCCTCCACTGTCAGTTAATTCCACCCTTCCTTCACACCCCCTGAGCCCCTCTCCCTCCACACACGGTTCAGGTTTGGTCACCTCTGTTCTGCCTGTACTCGCGGTTCACATGCGAACCTCTCCCAATTGCTTGCTCTTGTCCTACTCAACTACACATACACACATACACACGCCCTCCCTACCACACACGCCCGCCCTCCCTACACCCTACGCCCTCCCTACCAGAGCTGCCATGCTAGAGTCCGAGCTGGGTCTGTCCCTGGCCGCCAGCAGCCGAGCTGAGGCGGCACACGGCACGGAGCTGGCCAAGGTGGGGGAGTGGGGGTTGGGGTGTGTGGGGGGTGTGAGGGGTAAAGAGCCGTGTGATAGGGCCGTCATCCTGGTTTGCAACATGGGTGGGGCGGGGTTTTGGGGGGGTGGGGTGGGGAGGAAGATGACTAACTAACTGACCGTGCAATCGGTGGCTCTGTGAGTTGGCAGCTGTCCGCTTCCAACCCTCCCATGTGTCTTTTCACGCCGCCGCCCCCCGGCTGCCTCCTCCATGTTTGCCCCCCCTCCGCTCCTCCTTCATGTATCCCTTCCCCAACCCCTCCCCTCCCACTCCCCCACCCCCCAGGTTGAGGGCGATGTGGCCCGGGTGTTGGCTGAGCGGCGGGGGCTGCTGGAGAAGCTGCAGGGCATCGAGGTGGTGGAGGACGCGGTGCGGGAGATGGTGGTGCAAATGAAGGTGTGTGAGGGGGAGGGGGGAAGGGTAGGGAGGGGGGAGAGGGGAGGGGGGATGGGTAGGGAGGGGGGAGAGGGGAGGGGGGAAGTAAAGAGAGGATGGGGATACTCATTACTCACCTCTCTGGCTCCTAGGCTCGGTCGGATCGCGTTGCCCTCCCCGCCTGCTCAGTACTATATGATCCCCACCTGCGTCTCTCCGCTTCCCTCCGTCCCCTCCCTTGTATGGCTCTGCTGGGGCTCTGGCTCCGCGACCGCGATCCTGTGCAACCTGGTTCGCACATTGGGCGGAACCGCGGAGGCTGCCCCCACCGGTTACCGCATCCCTTTCTTCGTTCCCACCATTCATCCCCTCCCTACTCATTCAGAACATAGGGTATTCTTCTTCCCCTCACCCCCTCCTGCCCTCCCCTCCCTCCCCCTCCCCCCCCCCCAGTTCCGAGTGGGCGACGACGAGCGCCCCTCCCCCGAGCAGCTGCAGTCGGAGAAGGAGGCGCTGCGCGGGGAGAACATCCTCACGGTGCTGGGCAGCCTGAAGGCCATTCTCAAGACACTGTGGACATTCAAGGTGGGGCGGGGGTAAAGAGGAAACAACTGACTGACTGAGGGATAAGGCGTCAACATGGGTTGCAACAACATGTGACATGCAACAGGTGGTGGTGGGGGGGGGGGAGGCCAGGTGGGTGTTATGTGCGATACATCATGCGGAGTGCTCTCGCGTTCGTGTGTTAAGAAACCACGTAACGTACTGTGTGTGATGGGTTCGTGTATGTGTGTGTGTGCCGCCGCAAGGAGGATCGTAGTGGTTTTACCAACTATGTGTTTTCACCGGTGGTGTGTATCCCCTCCCTCCCTCCCTGCCCCCCCCCCCCCTCCTCCCCAGGTGGAGGCTGAGGAGGACCTGCGCTGCTCGCGTCAGGGCCGGCAGCAGCAGCAGCAGCAGCTGGTGCTGTCGCTCAAGGCGCGCGTGCGGGAGATGGAGGCGGCGGTGAGGGAGGCGCAGCGGGAGGCGGCGGCGGCACGGGAGATGTGAGCGGAGGGGCGGAGGGGCGGATGGGAGGAGGCAGGGGGGTGGCAGGGCCTAGTACGACTATAAGCAACCCTAGAAGCCAGCCTAATGCCCGACTTCCTACCTCTATCTCCTAACCCCCCTCCCATCTCTATTACCGGTATTCCCGACAGGGCCGCCCAGGAGACCGCTGCTCGCGAGGCGCTGCTGGCCGAGAGTCGCGAGGTGCTGTCGGCACTAGAGGGGCAGCAGCGGGAGGTGCTGGCGGCGCTGCGGGGGGCGGCGGAGGAGGCGGCGGGCGCGAGGCGGGCGCTGGCGGCTGCGCAGGAGGAGGGGCGGCGGCGGGACGGGCTGGTACTGCGGAACCAGCAGCTGGAGTCGGCGCGGCACTTTGACAGGGTGGCGCAGGTGGGGGTGGGTGGTGTGGGGGTGGGGGGACGTTGCTTCCGGCCTGCCACTGGATGCAGAGGGGGGGCCCAGTGGCGGCGGCGGTTAGTTACAAGAAGGTCCTCAGTTGCTCTTAACCCCTCCCCTCCATCCCCTTTGGTTGCTGCTACTAACCCAACAGGTATGTCTAGACCCTGTTAATCCCCCCCCCTCCCCCTCCCTCCCTCTCCCTCCCTCCCCCTCCAGGATCGCGAGCTGCGGCTGATGCAGACCGCCCACAGCCGCCAGATCGCCAGCCTTCAGGGGGAGCTGACGCGCATCGCGGACCTCATGCTGCAGGTTAGGGGGGGGGGGGGCAGGGGGGCTCGGAGGGGGGCGAGGAGGAGGAGGGAGCTGCTTGCCCATCCGACCTTCTCCGCCTTCAACCCATTTCCTTTCTTCGACCCGCTCTGTTTCTTCAACCTCCTCCCCTCCCCCCCACAGAACCAGGGTCTGAAGGAGCGGCTGCGGGGCGCGCTGGCCTCCCGCGAGCAGCTGGCGGAGCGCATGCGGGCGGCGGCGGCAGCGGCGGAGCTGGCACTGAGGCAGCAGGTGGCAGGGGGAGGTGGCAGGAGGGGGAGGGGGGGAGAATACCCAATGGGGGGAGGGGTGCCAACGTGGTGGCCGGCCCGGGTGCGGGTGCGGGTGCGGGTGCGGGTGCGGGTGCGGGGGTGCCAGCCCCTCCACCACTCACCCGAATGAGCGGCATGGGCCGGCTGCCATGAGCTGCAAACCAAGCGTGAGAAGCCTTACGGTATATCACACGGGTCGTTACCGGTGGTTGGGTTTGCTCCTTACCTCCCTCCCCTCCCCTCTCCCCCCCTTCTCTCCTCCCAGCGCGCCCAACACCGCCCCCACAGCAGCCACGGCGGCTCCTCCTACTCCGCCTCCCCCTCCTCCCCCTACCACCACCACCACCACCCGCCCTACCCGCCCTCCACCTACTCCGCCTCCTCACCCTACTCCCAGCTTCCCCCCGCGCCCACCTCCCTCCAACCCACCACCACCACCACCACCACGTCCTCCTCCGACCCTGCCACCGCTGCTCACCCCGGCAGCAACAACCCGCTCCTCCGCCCCGCCACCGCTCCCCCCTACCCCACCGGCACTGCCTTCGTCAACCCCTTCACAGCTGCTGCTGCGGGGACCTCTGCCGGTGGCGGGGGCGGTAATGGCGGCTATCCCCCTCCTGCTCTCATACTAGGTGGGGGAGGTGGCAGCGGCGGCGGCGGCGGCGGCGGCGGATCCCCGGGCTCCCCTCTCGGCACCGCCATCTCGGTTGCCACCCCAGCCGGCCCCACCAGCGCTGCTGCTGCTGCTGCTGGCGTCGGCAGCACGACAGGAGGCAGTGGGGGAGGTGGCAGCGGGGGTGGGGGCGGAAGCGGGGGCGGAGGGACCCAGCCCCAGCCTGCCGCCGCTGCCGCTGCCTCCTCCGCACTCCCCCAGCCGCCCTCCCAGCCCTCCCAGCCCGCCTACCGCGGCACCGCTGCTTCCATGGCTGCTCGGCTGATGGCGGGTCGGCGCGCGCGAACGCAGCTGCAGGCGCGGGCGGCGGCGGAGGTGCAGGAGAGCCAGGACCCGGTATACCAGGTGGGGTAAAAAAATATATATAGAGAGAGAGAGGAGGAAGGGGAGGGGGAGGGAAGGAGAGAGAGAAGGGGGGAAGCTTTAGGAGGAACACGCGGCCCACCGTACCAGTGTCATACCGGTAGCCAACCGTGACGCGGTGTACGATATTCCCCGCTTTCTTTCTTTCCTTCCCACCCGCCCGCCCTTTCCTTCCTTTCCCTGACGCCCCCCTTCTCCACCTGTATACACCCACCCACCCTATACACCCACCCACCCACCCTCCAACCCATCCCCCTCCGCCCCCCCCGCAGACGCTGGCCAACGTGAACAAGATGCACCGCGGCGTGCGGTCGTACATCCGGGAGGTGAAGCAGGGGCTGGCGGAGGCGGCACCCAGCTGGGCTAAACCGCGAGGGCAGCAGCAGCAGGGGGGCGGGCAGCAGCAGCAGGGGCAGCGGTAGTAGCGGGGGCAGCGGTAGTAGCAGGGGCAGCGGTAGCGGGGTAGTAGCAATGGCAGCGGTAGAGGGGCAGTGCTAGCGGAGAGGCCCAAGTAGGTAGTAGTACGGTGGTGGCGGAGGAGGTGCAGGGAGTACATTGACCGCACACACAGAAATGAATGATTGGGAGCGACCGTATAGCATTATAGCTCCGTGGCTTTTGGAAAGCGGTCTTGCTTGCTAAGTGTCCGCTTCCTTCTACCTTCTTTACCGGTACCTTGCATCTTTCCTCGTCGTGGATTGCATGATGCATTTGCCGTATGTACATCGGCAACGTTCTTCGGACGCCTTGTGATCTTCTAACGAGTCGTGTTACAATGAATGTTTCTCTTTCTCCAAGACGGCATGTCATGGATGCAACGCCAAGTGTGCATGCAAACCTGTAAGCAATACGGTGACTTCGGGATTCCAGTTCCATGAGTACGAACCACATCAGCAACACCCGCCCCCCGCATGCAATCCGGCAACTGCTGTTCCGCCATCCAAGTTTGCACGCAACAACCGCAACAGTACATTCCCGCATTCTTGGTAAAACTTGTGCGCCTCCACGTTCCATGCGGATAGTCACGAACGCGAAGGGGTCAGTGTTTTGATTAGATTCGACCCAGCATCGACTCTGCACCCAAGCCTAATGCAACATCCTAACTAGGCACGATGCCCTACACGTGCGTCGACCAGGCATCCAGGAGATCAGCCCAACTCTATACCCATCGCAGCCTAACACTCTCGCCCTCCTTGCATACCAGGACCACACACTCCCCATTCACTCAATACCGGTACGTCCCGGTCAGTCACTATAACTCCCCACACCAAGGTACCACCACCCTCCCTGCCGTGAATGCTAATTTGGACGCACGGGGGCACGGGTGCACGGCGACAGCAGCCCCTGCGGCGGCGGCGGAGGCGCCATCAGCGGCGCCAGCGCCTCCGTCAGCTGCGCCCGAACCAGCGTTGCGCTGCCCTGCAGCTCTGCCGCCGTCGCCGCCGCCGTTGCCGTCCCATTCGCCGCCGCCGCCGCCGCCGCCGCCAACACACGGTACCACTCACAAACGCACTTGGCAGCATGCAGGAGTGCAGGCGCCGCCGCCAGCAGACACCGACTGACACGATTATTATCACCATCGCCGCCGCCGGCGCCTCTGCCGCCCTCCTCATACCCTACCTCGTATCCAAGCTGCGCTTGCTGCTGCTACAGCCTTGCGGAGTCAGCCGCCGCCGCCTCCCGCGCCCTAATCAGCAAGTTGAAGATGCCCGTGAGGCAGCTCCTGAAGCCCGCCAGTACGGCAGCGTCCTCCGCGGCGCCGCCGCCACCGCCACCGCTGCTGGCCGCCGCCGCCGACAGCGCCTTGGTCGCCGCTGTCTGCTCCCGCGGCACGCGCAGCAGCAGCGACCACACCTGGCCCAGGGTAGCGGCGGCGGCGCGAGCAGAAGCCAGGGAACTACCCGCCGGTGGTGGTGGCGTCGCCGTCCCCGCCGCTGCCGCCAACGGTTGTACGGCCGTCTCCGTCACCGCCGCTGCCGCTGCTGCTGGTGCTGCCATCACTGTTGTTTCCGCTATCGAGCTCCCCGCAGAGCCCGCTGAGGGCGGCGAAGCATGAGAACCACCCATGGTCTCCCGGTTGCTGCCTCCACCCCGCAATGAAGGAGGAAAACCACCCGCTGCCGTACTACCCACGACCAGACCGTCTTTGCGGCTGCTGGCAGCAGCGGCGGTGATGGAGATGATGCCAATGTGTGTGCCTGCCGTCGCCATCCGCCTCCCCCCATCTGCACTGCTGCCCCTGATGACGTTGCAAACCACTCCGGCCGCAGGTACCTCCTCCTCGGCCCTTTCGCCATCGCAGTAGTTGACCACGCTGTTTGGCTCAACAGCACTGCCGCCGCCCTGCGACTTCCGCAGTTGTTGCATGCGCCGTTTCTTCGTCTCCTTGTTAGCAACCGCCGTTTCTGCTGCTGCAGCGCCCCAGCAGGCATTGCCTAAACTAGCTTCACCAGCGCTGCGCTTGACCCTCCTCCTCCCGGTGTTCCCCCCGCCCCTACTGCTGCTGGCGCTGCTGCTGCCGCGTTTTCCGCCCAAACAGCCCCTGCTGCTGGAATTAACGGCCACCACCACCGCTGCCGTCGCTAATTCCGCCTCAGCCTCCGCTGCCGCCACTGCCAGGGAAGCGAGTTCCCACAACCGTCCGCCACCGGCACCACCGCCTGCTGCTGCCCCAACAGCCCCTGCAGCCGCGGACGTGGGCCCCTCCGGCAGCAACAGCAGGGGCGACTCAAGGAGCGCTGCGGCATCCGGCAGCGGCAACACATCCGAGGGTGCCACTGATGATAACAGCGCATGCGGCCAGAGCTGCTGCTGCGCTGCTGCTGCTGCTCCGGCTGGTGCTGTTGCTGCTGCTGTTGCTGCTGGTGGTGCTGCAATTGCTGGGTGGGGCGCCGGCGGGTAGCTGCCCACCCGCCCCATGAGCCCACTCGCGGCAGCCGCTGCCGCTAGCAGCCTTGCAACCGCCAAGGAGCCCGTCAGGCTGCTCGCACCTTCCTGCAGCAGCTGCTCCTCCTCACCTTCCGCCTCCTCCTTCTCCTTCTCCTGACGCGCTGCTGAGACTACCGGTACCCTTTCGGGTGCAACGGCTCCCACCGGTGCGACCGTGGTTGACCATAACAGCAGCTGCTGCTGCTGCTGCTGATGCAACTGTTGTAGCTGCTGCAGACGGCTTAGCTGTTGCAGCAGAGGCGGCATCAGCGGTGGTAGGGAAGTCGTTGCCAGCGGCGGTGGAAGCAGCGGCGGCGGTGGCGGCGGCGGAATGCTGGAGAACAACAACAACACATCAGGATTACCACCGTTAATGTGAACATCCTGGCCGTTGCTGGTTGGGAGGTGTTGGTGGCGGTGGTGGTTTGGAATGTAATCCGTGCTGCTACCGCCACCACCGTCACCACCACCACCACCGCCACTGTCACCGCTTCTAGCGCTGCCAGCAGCGCAAGCGACGTACGGCTGTTGCTGCTGATGTTGCTGCTGATGTTGCTGATGTTGAATAATAACATCGTTAGGACACCCGGCAGCGGTTGCAAGCGGACGAGGGGGTTGGTACGGTGTGGGGCGCTGGTAGGGGTGATGGTGAAGGTGGTGGAGGTGGTGGGAGCGGTGGCAGTGGGCTGTAGGCAGCAGCACAGGGCCGGAGGGAAGGTGCTGTACACTGGGGCTGATGATAACCCGACGGGCTTGGTTGGGGGATTGGAGTGAGGCAACGGTGGGGGAGTCGCCAGCGTTACCACCCACATCACAACTCCTCCCGCTGTGGCCACTACCGCTAGCACCGACAGGGGTGCTGCTGCCGTCCGCATAGTCAGCAACCGCAGCTGCTGACGCGTATTTTGGCGCGACAGGGTTAATGTTGTGACCCATGGGTCGTTCGCCGCTGACGAAGTCGGTGCTGTCGTTGATGTTGTGGTGCCTGTCGTCGCTGTAGCAGGGGCTTGAAACTGGATGCTGCCGCAAGTGCTGCTGCTGCCGCTGCTGTAGCAGAGACAACAGCACATCTTGCACCTGCTGCTGCTGCTGTAGCCGTCGCTGCTGCTGCTGCTGAGAGTCGCGCTGCTTCTGCGAATAGTAGTAGTTCAGCACCTCCTTTTGGCCTTCTTCCGGATCCATGCGGTGTCCGGTTGCCTGTCTTGGCAGCGGCAAATGAACTTCTGGCGTCGCTCGAGACGCCCCAGGAACAGCAGCAAATCGGTTGTCTGCTGCCGACCGCGGCATCGGTCTCACTGCTGGCATCGAAGCTAGCAGCATCAGCTCCGAGGGCTGCCTGTTGGGTGCATGTTGCTGCTGAGTCGCCGCTGCTGACCCATGGGTCTGCGGCTGTGGTGGCCCGGGCGGAAGTACCAGTAGTGGTGGGGCCTTACGCTGATGGTCGACCACCATGGTCGTCTCTTCCGCTGCTACAGCGGAGCTGTGATGGCTGCCGTTGCAGCTGGGGGTTACGGCGGATGACTTCTCGAGGACATTGATGAGGTCTGTGGCGTGTTTTTGGGGCGCATAGCGGCACGGTTGGTACGGCAAGGGCCGCTGCTGTTGGGCCTGTTCTGGTTTGTTGTCATGCGATGATAGCTGACCGTGGCTCATCCGATGGTGTTCGGGTACGCGCGGAGCTGGCTGCTGCTGCTGCTGCTGCAACCGCAGCTGCAACCGCTGCTGCAATCGCTGGTACTGCAGCTGCAACCGCCGCAACTGACACAACTGATGTTCCTGTTGCTGTTGCTGTTGCAGTTCCTGTTGGAATGGGGGTTGCTGGTTGCGAGAGATGGGGAAAAGGACCGATGTCGAGTTGTTGATGCCGCTGCTGACGCGTGGAAGTGGCGAAGTGGGATGTAAAAGGTACAATTCCGCAGGCCGGTGGGGAACCATTGTTGCTATGGGCGCGTTGTGGTGCTCGTAGCTCCGGCTTCGTTGGTCGTCGTGTAGCTGCCGGCATGCAGCAGCCGTTTTAGCCTCCTGTTGCAGGAACCCAGCAGAAGTGGTGCCGCGGACTGTAAGGTTGTTAGGAAGGTTGCGTTCGTTGCGTTGCATCGAGGGATTTAGCCGCTGGTAGGCCAGAGGTGACAGGTCTGAACTGGACGACGTCGCATCAAGAGGTAACGGGAACAAAGTAGACGCTGGACTCTTGCCTCCTGAGCTGAAATCGATGTTGTAGCTAAAAGGGTGCGCTGGTGATGGCCGCTTCATGGCTGCAATGGTACCTTGAGGGGTCAACTGAGATGACAGCGTGCTACTGTAAGGCGCTGCTGCACTGTAGGTATTGCTGAAATTGCGATCTGGCCGATCCATGTCCTTAGAATTTGCTTTGGATGCGGGCATGGCTGACGCCGACAGCAATCCATTTTGATACATCCGAATTGGCAGGTCAACAGCGTCCGCCCAAAGTAATTGAATTTTAGCCTGAAGCAGTTGGGAATATGGAGTGAAACACGCGCGTATTGCGTCCTGTCGACTTCTTCAACTAACAGATGTTGGCAGGCGACAGCGTGACGACGTCAGCGCCAGTCGCAATATGATAAAATGCAGCAATAGTTCACATAGCTTGTACATTAAGCTCTAAAGCGGCTAAATGGCAGAATGCAAAACGCCCTTCGTATCTCCTGGCAGCATTTATCTACCTTGTCCAAGCGCGTGGGGTGTATACGGGCGGGATTCAAGTTGTCATAGGCGTCTGAACTTAAACCGAGGGTTTCTTCACTATGAATTCTAACTGGCCTGATGTGACACGTAACTGCTTACAGTAAGTCTCGCGAGCGCGCGATGCATGCACCAGCTTCCTTAGAGTTAACGCGAAACTGGTAATGGCATATGTGTCTAGCGTTTCTTCAACGTACACAAAGAGGGAGGCGAAAGGCTATTGCGTGTCGCTCCAGGCCGTCGCTCTCGCGTCACGTCAAGCTGTCCGTCCTATAAGGTTAGTTTTCTAACGACATGTTGAAAGGGAAGTGATAAGTGTTGCAGTTGGTTATTGTGGATTTAGCAGTAGAGCTCGCCTACGACGGAACAAAGGTGGGCGGAATTCGGACGGTGGTTCCAAAACAGGCTAGCTAGGTACGGCATATAAGCGGAGGCGACACACAAAGCGGCGATGCCCGTAATGTTATCATGTTTAATTTCAAACCTTTCGAATGATTTCGCAAGCTAGGGCCCGCGCTACCTACCGTGCTGTGCGCTTCCGCTGGCAGGCATTTGCCAATGCGAAGTAGTTGGCAGCAGCGCCCACAGTGGCCCATCGACCAGTGGCCCAGCGCATTCAAGACTCTTAACATGCTAGCATACCCAGCTGCGGTACAGTGCTCATAAGGAAAGCTGCAGCGCCTTATGTCGGCATGTGTCCGATGTGTGTCCTCCATACATCACAACGCTTACCCGTTAGGTTCCGGTTGGAGGTCTTCCAGCCAACAATACTGGTAAATAAACAATCATTACTCGATGCTCCTCCGATTTGCCAGCCAGCTAGAGTACCATCTGCTGCATTAACCGTGTCCAATCGCCCAGGCAAGTGTAACTGATAACCACACAGACCCGGAAGTAGCGCTGTTCAAACTCTCGCACGCCATTAGCCATCCTCACCCCGCCAACTGGCCCTGCTGCTGCGTCAACAATTCCTCCGCAATGCCGCGAATCACGTCCAACAGAAACCGCCGCTGCGCCTGTTCCCCAAACACCTCAAAGGGCGGCACATGCACAAACAGCGCCTGCCATCCCCGCCGCTCCTCCGCCAGCCTGCAAGCCCGGTAGTACGTCCAGTTGCAAACGAACCGCCCGGCATCCTCCGAAACCACTACTGGGTGCCCCGCAGCAGCCAACCGCTCCTTCAGGGTCATCAGCGGTAGATTGGAGCCCACGCAGCAACCCAGCCCCAACCCGGGGTCGAGCTCCTGTTGCTGCGGCTGCCAGCCGCGCTCGTCAGGTACGCGGAAGGTCGCACAGTTGTAGGCTCGGGACTCCAGGCGATACTCGGATGCGTTGTAAGCTACTCCCAGCTGTAACAGCACCACGGGCTCCTGCTGGTGGGGGTTTCGATGGTGGTTGTGGTGATTCTGCGGTGGAGGCGGAGGCTGTTGTGGCTGCTGAGTTGGAGCTGGGGATTGTCGTACGGAAGCAGCAGGCGCATCCGCAGCAGCGGCAGGAGGAGTGGACAGCAGAGGTGCTGGGAGCGGTTGCAGAGGATGTGCAGGTGGGATCAAGGGGGCGGCTACTGGTTCGGGCCATGGATTGGCCTCCTGGATGTCAACGTGAGTCGGGAGTGCAAGCTGCTGGCCACCACATGGCGGCGGCTTAGGGGCCTGCTGCTGGTGTGATAGCGGCTGCGGGTGCTGTTGCGGCCGAGAGTGACGTGGTACCGGAAAGTGTTGCGGTAGGGAGGACAGGTAGGAGTCCACATCCTCAGCCGCCACCCGGAGTATGGAGGTGCTGTGGATCTGAGGAAGGAAAGTGAAGCAGGCAGGAGGGAATGGTAGCTAGGAAAGGCGCTCAAGGCTGCCAGCTGTCCCTGGCAGCGTAGAGATGGCGCTAGAGATGGGACGTGAAACCCGGTTCCCCCCCAGATCAGGCAAAGCGTATATAGTTCTAAAAAAGACAATGTATCCCTCCAGTCTAAGTAACATGGCGTAAGATCGACAGCAGCGGCAACGTGGGCGTGCGGTCGGGTTTCCGGTAGCGAATTCCGGGATGGCTGAGACATTCCATCCGCGGAGTCCTATGTAACAGGGACGTATTTCCATAAGACATCGTACAGCGAGCCCACACCGCACCTCAACTCCTGGTCCAAATGCAGAAACGCCCGTGTCAACCTGCTGCTGTAGCCACTCCACCAGCCGCTCAGTTGGGTTATCCTCAACGCCGCTAAACTTAGAGAAGCCTGTTACGACGAAGGTTACTGCGGACGCCTCCAAAGCCATCGGTTTGTCACACAACACCCATAAGACAAAGGTGTCATTGGTGTTCTTCTAACTATATACAGCTCTCTAGTCGTCAATGCTGACGGACCAGGAACCATAAGCAAGCTGACAAATGTCTAGTACGGAAATAGATCTGGGCGAGAGGCAACCCATTCCCCCAAGCTCAACACACGTTAGCGACATGCCTGACTTCTTGTTTTGTACCTTTCATTTTTATTGTATGGTTCGTATAGCGAATGGTGCCACTCGACGACTAACCACGAATAATAATGCTCTTGCAAGCCGAACCGTACTAGCTCTTTCTGCCATCGGGAATTGTGCAGATAATTATAGGAATGCGTGGTTCATTATTAAGGGATACTACGACACGTCACAGGGACACTCTTACCAATGGTCGACAAGTAGGCTGTCGACGACTGCTCCTAAAGCACTGTCGACATGTAGGGCCTCGGCACGAACCTGTCTGCTTATTGCATAGCCTCAACAGACAAGAGGCACGTAATTCAGGACAAGGCATACGCTTTTCCAGCGGATTCCCCGGCCCAAGTGTGAGATGCAGCGCCACAAACCGCGCCGGCAACGACTTACCCCAGGACTGGACACAGGTCCGTTACCGTTCTGTACATTCATGAATTGACTCCGGGGTTTAGTTCTTTCGCACGTGTCTCCCTTCCTCCTGCCCTCCAGTTGGACAGCCAATTGCTGCCCCCTTTATAAGGCACCTACCCTTTCCTCTCGGCGCCACGTGAGCGCCCCAGCGCCGTACTTACCCAACCCTGCCCTACTTACCTACCCTACCCTAACCTGTCCTACCCTGCCCTTCATACCCTGCCACCCTTTCCTCCTTCCCTCTTACTTCAGGTGGTCTCCTGGGCCCGAGAGGAGTTCCGCCGCTGTATCTCCAAACCCGCCTCCTTCCCTTCTTCTCCTCCCGCTGCTGCTGCCTCCTCCCTGCACCCTGCCCCTTCCTCCGCCGCCACTGCCACCGCCTCCCCAGCCACCACCATCGCCAGTCCCACACATGCATCAAACACCCACCTGCATGACAATTACCATCACCGGTACGACGACACCAACAGCTACCTCCAGGACGCCCCGGAGGCGAGCTCCGAAACCAGTCCCTCCGAACAATTGGACTTCGATAACGACGTTGACAATGCGGATGACAACGACAACAGCAATGAGGCTGAAGAAGAAGACGAGGAAGAAGCTGACAATGACAATAACAATGAGCATCAAGATGATGACGCTGAGGAAGATGACGCCTGGTTGCCTCTTGCCAAGTGCTGCCTGCTGGTAGCACTGGAGGAGGAGGCGGCTGCTGCGGCCGAGGGGGCGGGGCTGCACCCGGAGATTGGGGAGCTGCTGGGGGGCATGCGGCAGCTCAGGTGGGGGAGGGAGGGAGCAGGGGGGAAGATATGGAGACTGAATGTAGCAGGATGTTTGCAGACTGCAGAGAAGGCAGCATTTCATCATTGCAAGAATGGATTGCTACCGTCCGTTCCTGTTACGGTATCCCTTCCTTTTTCCCTTCCTTTCCCGCTCCCTCCCCTCCCTCCCCCGCCGCTACCCCAGGCCTCGCAGTGCTGCAGGCAGCAGCACCTGGAGTGGGGAGCGGCTGGCGGCGCTGGCGGCGGAGGTGGCGGGTCTGCTGGCGGAGGAGCTGAGTGGGGCTGGGCAGGAGCTGCAGGGAGGGGAGGAGCTGAGTGGGGTTACCAGCAGCGGCAGTAGAAGAGAAGGCCATATCGGTTGTAGTAGCAGCAGCAGTAGCAGCGGTAGCAGCACCCACCCGTATGGTCAATGTAGTAGCAGCAACGACAGCAGCAGCAGCAACAACAATGCCGCCGCTGCTGCTGCTGACACGAATGTCCAGCTACCCTCCTGCAGCCCGGGAGAGCTGTACCGGAGGTACCCCATGCAAACGCTGGCGGCGGTCAACACGGTGTTGTACGACCGGCACGGGTACCGCCCCTGCAACCGTTACGGAGTCGCCAGGTGAGCCCCATGTGCGCGCTCCATGACCCTCCTTGCTTGTCCTCCCCTCTGCCAGGGTACGGCGCCCCATGACTGTTACGGCCCCCCCATGCCCCACTTGTGTGGCCTCCCGGGCATATCCCACATGCGGAGCTCCTAACCTCCTTCCTCCCTACATGCCCTCCGTGTACTCCCCTCCTTCCTGTCCTACCTCCTTCCTAATCTTCCGTCCTTTCCTGCCCTCGCCTCCCACGCCGTCCCTCCCCCCACCCCTCCTCAGCGACCACCGGCTTTCCTCCGTGTTAGAGGGCGGAGTGGGCGCCAGTGCGGCCCTGTCCATTCTATACCTGGAGGTGGGTGGTTAGGTATCGGTAAGCTAAGTCACGAGGAAACACTGCTGAGGTAGATGGTCAGGAAAACTGAGCCGCGAGGAAACACTGACTGAGGGGTAGGTGATGTGACGGGTGATGGGAGGGGGCTGCAGCCCGTTAGTCGCTTGCTCGGCATCAGCTTCCGCCCTTCCCCCAACACCCAGCTGCCAGCATCCCACCTACAGTATCCCCACCGCAACATTCGACTGTCGCCACTTGCACAAAACAGACAAACGCGACTTTTCGAAAACACGATCGCTTTCGCTGTGCAGGTGTGCGAGCGGTTGGGTTTTCCCCTGGCCGCGAGACCGCTGGAGGAGGGCCGGTGAGGACGGAGGGCTGGGGTGCTGCTGAGGGGTCACGGCAGCGGCATGTAGAGGGGCAGTGCAGCATGTGTGTGGGGGGGGGCAGGGCAAGATGGCGGAGAGGGAGAGCCTATGGGGTGGATGTGGTGGTGTTGGCATGCAGGGAGGGTATGCAGGAGGGACGCCCAATACGGTACCCCCGGTTGGCCGCATCCCATGCATGCATGCATCTCACGCACATGAACGTACCGGTAACTCACCCTTGCCCACAATTCAATGTTGCATGGTATGTTCCTAGCCCTCAGTCGCCAACCCCATTATGCTTTACAAACCCCGCCCGCCCGCCCGGCCAGTTATTTCGTGCTGTGGCCTCGGGACGTGTCGCTAACCGCCAACGGACAGCGATTCCTGGTGGATCCGTACGGCAGGGGAGGGCTGCTACTGGCGGAGGAGGTGGGGTACGGCAGATTCGGTTCATTTGAGTCGTGTACCCTGCACGGCGTGCATTTGCGGAATTGAATGAATAGAATGTTGTACGCCTGAGTGGAATGAGAAGCGCAACATCACCAGTGAGGTACCGCATGTAGCCGTACATGTAGTCGGTTTCATGTGTACGGCAGGTTCGGGTCCAAACACCCCCATGAACCCTGATCAACCCTCCAGCCTTCCCGCCTCCGCCACATCGCTGTGACCCACCCGCACCCCTTCCCCCACCCGCCCTACATATGGGATTATTGGGACCCCAGTTGCTGCACTTTTCATCTCTTTTACGTATTCCCCCACCCCCCCAGGTCAGCGAGCTGTTCGAGGTGCCTCCCCGCCTGCTGCTCCGCCCCGCCCCCCGCCGCCTGCTGCTGGCTGCGCTGCTGGGGGAGCTGCGTGACTGCCACTGGGCCTCCGCTGCGGGGTGCTCCGCGGCGCCCGGCAGCATGGTGCCGCTCAGCGTGGACACCGCACTGGGGAACAAGGTACCGTAGTCAGTAGGGAGTTGGGGGAGGAGAGGGGAGGGAGCGGGGTAAAGGTAAGGAAACTGACGAGGGAGAGAGATCGGGAGAGGGGTGTGGCCTGACGCCATTACGGCAACGCATGCCCTTGTAGCCGTCTGCGACGCACGTCGCGCTCCTGCCGCTGCCCCCGTCCCTCCGTAGCCCTCCTCTTCCGTTACGTGTCCACGGCAACCACAGCCACAGCCACAACGCAGCGCACTTGCGACGCACACTCCCCCACCGCGGCTCACGTTACCTAATCCCCCACCACCTCTCGCATGGCTTCCTACGGCACGCATACCGCCCTCCTGCCCCCTCCTCCTCCTCCTCCGCTGCTCCCAACCTGCCCTCCACCCGCCCCCCGTCCGCCCCCCGTCCGCAGGTGTCGGTTCCAGGCAGCGGGGTGCGGGCAGCAGCGCTGAGGCGGGCGGTGGCGGCGGCGGAGAAGCGGCTGTGGCTGCTGCCGGAGGACAGGTGGGAGCAGCGGGGCAGGCGGGAAGGGAGGGAAAAGAAGAATACCCAATGTGAGGGGCGGGGAGAATGAACTGCACTGGAAGGAGAGGGAGGTATGGGGCTGTGGCTGCTGTCAGAGGGAGGATAGTTGTGCGGGAGGAGGGATGCAGCGCAGGGTAGTTATTCATAGTGAAGGCCGAGTCGCGGGATGAGGAGCAAGTACGTCAACCCTCACAAGGAATGGCATTCATTCCCAGCTGTCGTTTCAGCCTACCTGAATAGTTTGCCGTACCGTGTCGTGCTGTACTGCAGTGAAGCCCAGTTGCAGTACGGCTTGCTGCTGTACTTCAGCCGGCGGTACGATGACGCTTGGATCGAGCTGGCTTTGTACTTGGAGCGATTTGGGAAGGGCCTTTTGTCGACAGCAGATCCCGTTAGTGCCGTCGACAACACGAGTACGAAGGGGCATGTGACGCCGGTTGCCGACATGACATTAACAACAGCATCACGGGAGGTGGAGGCAGGACCGCCGACGGCGATCCAAACCGTCAGTACGGATGAGGCAGTGGCAGCAGCGGCTGCGGTTTCGGAGGTCGTTGAACCTTCAGCAGGGGAGGGTGTGGTCGGCAGTGGGGATGCGTCCGGAAGGCAACCACAAGGGGGAGAGGACGTATTGACTGATGGGGCCAAGGAGGAGACGGGGAGAGGGGATGCTAAAGCGGACCAAGCGGACGCCGGCGGTTCCCAGCCCTCCCCTAGTAGCTCTTCGGCTTGCTCCATATCGGTTCCCTTGGGATCCAAGGTAGCGATGCTTGTTGAGCGCATACGGCTTGAGCTTGAGTTTGCACCGGTACGACCCTAGCCATGTGCAATAGACGTTCCAGACGCGGCACCCGAGCCTCCAAGTTCTCGGTATATCTGACAAGCTACGCAAGAGGTTAGCGACTAGCAATCCCTGACCACAGGCACCTGTGGGCTCATAGTAGATGCTGACGTTGACTCGCTGGCTTCCACAATTGGTTGATTTGCAAACGTTATTGTTGCCAATTTATTAGATAGTATCTATGCTTCCGGCTGAACGTTGCAAATGAAGGGCAACCGGTATGGCCGCGGTGGTCCTTCTTATTGACTGGTCAAGAAATGACTTTCCTGGACTTCAAGTACGCTTTGTTTAGTAAATGCTTGGCAAAGTTAGTGTGGACTTTGCCTGTTAGATTTCGGAGCTTGGTGGTGGTGCGATTAGGCAGGATGTTGCTTCCCAGTGCTTTGCCCCGCACCTTTTTTAGCTTCCGTTCTTTCGTTCAAGTAAAGTACTTATTAACGGGAACGGTAATGCGACTGTGCGACATAGTAAGTAGTCGACAAGTGGAACGAATTTGGAACGTCGCTTGCGAAGTTTGGCGTCGTTCCAATCGTCGATTTGAGGTACAGGATGTGACGCTTGCCGAAAGAACAGCGTCCATATAGGATATTCAACTTTTATCAGTACTATTGCTTTCCTACTTCGCGATCCCACGTTGCAGCTTGCCTCGAGTCTCACTCATGATACGGACTAAGGCCGTTGCAGTATACTTAATGGCAGTAATAATGTCCTGGGAAACTACAAAGGCATCTTTTCAAGGTGCTAGGCTAAAAGTGCGACAGTCCAAGGCGATGTTGGTGTAATCCCCAGTTTGACGACCGGAGTACGCCGAACGCTTTCAACTGGGATCTGCACAGTACCTCGCAACTGTTACATAGATAGAAACATTGTTACATATAACAGACACACAGCTACCTACTGAGGAAAGACTAGATACTGAATTCGACATAAGGACTGACACGCCTTGGACGCGACAGTTGTTGTTATCGCCTTACTCCTGGCCGCCGTGCTTAGACGCTTGCTTCTAGCAATCTAATAGACGCGTAATCTACAGCATAGCAGCGAAGATCTGGCAGGAGAGGAGGCTTTGGGGCCTCCAAGCCAGCCACAGATAATATGGACCTAACGCGAACCCAGGAGCTGCCTCAAGCCATACCTCGATTGGTAGGTTATTGCGCTTAGCCACGGGATTGTGGGGCCTAGCTGAAGCTAGCTGCGAGGACTTACGTTGTCGGGGCGACGTAGAGTCTTGTCGGCGAAGTTCCCAAAGCACTTGTTCACAGTACTCGCGAAGCATCCAATTTACCTCAGCACGTATGTGCCTAACCCGAAGTAGCTAGTGCCTAAATTTGTATCCGGGATTGCATACTATAATGGCAGTATAGCGGCGAAAACAGCTGTTACCTGCCGAACCAAAAGTCGGCGCCTCCCTACGGCCGCAGAGAGGGCAGAAGGCCGGCGGCGGGTTCACTTCCCTGCGATCTCTTCCCATAACTGCTGAAAGCGTCACCATTACATTTCGCCTTTATTGAGGCATGTGCCTGCAGCATTCTTATTAAGGACGAAAAACGCACCTTCTCGCTCTTGCGAGTACCCAGGCGACCCACGGGTCTCTAAACCCTCTTCGCGGGAAACAACCATGACCACAGGCTGAGCAAAGCGTGGGCGGCAACAACGACGGAGAGGAGCCTGGATGCGACAACGGGGGCATCTTTAACACATGGAACGACGACTTTGCAGCCCCTGGCAGCGCCGTCGCAAATGACTGGGGTTTGGCGTCAGTCTCGACCCACGGGCCACAACGACCTACCGTCGGCCCCGTGCGGCGCGTAGGCGCAGGCGGCTTTGCCTCGCCAGTCGCTTCCCTGCCAGGCGCGCCGCTGCAATACGGTTGGACCCCGGAGACTGTGCCGTCGCTGGCGGCGGCTCCCGCTGGCGCCAGCCCACCACCAGCGGTCACCAGCACCGTCATGTGGGATGATGCACCCACCACCGGTGTCGGAGCCGGCGGCGGCAGTGGCGGTGCCAACGGAACGGAGCCTGCTTTGCGACACCAACCGCTGCGCGGTGCGACAAGAACACCTCCTCCTTCCAGACGAGACCTCAACGACCTTCCGCTAACCCTGACGCCGACACCGGAGGGTGCCCTGCACATGCCTAGGTATCTCTATGGCGCCAATGCTGCATCCACAGCTGGCGGTACGTTGCCGTACGATGCAACGTACGGCCAACGCAGCCACCAACGAGCCATCACGGTGGCTTCGCCGCCGCCGGTTCCCATTCCTGTCGGCACCGGAATGTATCACGGCGGCATGGGCATGGGCATCGCCAGCAGGGGCAGAGCAGTTGGCGGCACGGGGGCATCGCTTCCGACGTCGCCGTACGGCACTTCTTGGGGTGGTGACGTTTCAGACGCTGTTGGAGCTGAACAGTCGCCGTCAAACATTGGCAGCAGGATTGCCGTATCGGCATCGCCGTGGCGTGCCAGTGCCGCCGCCGCCGCCACCGCTGCTCGTAATGCACATCTGCTACAGCAATCCCGCTTCATGCCGTACCCGGCTCCTGGGCCGCGGCCGGCAGGGGCTTATGGTGGGGCGCATGTCCGACGCATCAACCCACATGCCGCGCAAGGGCTGCGACAGGGGTACGGCAGCGGACAGGATCTGCAGTACATGTACGAGCAACTGCTCCAGCAGCAACAACAGCTACAGCGGCAGGCCTTGCAACAGCAGCAGCAACTGGCGACACTGCAAGGAGACGCGACGGCGGCTTCGGCGCTGGCGGCGGCGGCGGCGCAGATGGCAACGCCGCCGCCGCCGCTGCCAGAGCTTTACGGCGATGCGGGAGCCGAAATCGAAGCCCCGGATGTGGACACTGACGTCGCGCAGTACCTCAACCAGAGAAGCCAAAGTCCTCCCGACGGCGGCTATCCTCAAGACGGAAGCAGACATCGCGCACGGGAGGAAACACCGGGAGATGCGGCGGGCACCACAACGCCTGGAAGCGGCGAGAACACTGAGGAGCAACGCCCACAGCAGCGGGAGCAGCAGGCTTTGGTGACGCCAGCAGGATCAAGCCCCCCGGAAGGCCGCACGGCTGACGGCAGTGGCGGCAGCGACAGCAGCATGGCGGGTGAAAGGAAGGTGTTGACGCCTCCACCGCCGCCCGGGATAGGAGGGGAGCCCACTGCAGCAGGCCCGTCGGAAAGAGGAACCTTGCTACCTCCCAGGCAGGATGGTCAGGACTTGGAGGCGCTGCCGCAACAGACGCCCTTAGGGGGCACAAAGCAAGCAGATGGACAACGAGAGGAGGCAGAGAAGGAGGAGGAGAGGCTTCAGAAAGCCGCCGCAAGCCCCAGCCGTGACGGTAGCGGCGGCGACGGAAAGGTTGAAGGCGGTAGTGCTGGTGCCAGCGGCGGCGGCGACGGCAGACGGCGGACTCCACAAGAGCTTCCAGACGCCGCTGCTGTCGCCGAGGCAACAGACGGCGGCGACATCAATGGTGGAGAGCACCCCGCGGCGGCGGAACCGCCGCGGAAAGGCGACACGGCTGCCGCGACTGCCGCCGCGGCGGCGGCGTTGCGTACGGCAATGTTGGCGAACAGCCGCCAGGTGGCGGCTCAGCGGCTGACGCCGCCACCGGCGCTGCTGCCGCTACCGTCAGTGCCGTACAACACGACTCCGCTGCCGCCCCGGGCATCCATACCGCTGCCACCGCTGCCTCTCCCTCCCTCTCGTCTGCAGCAGCTGTTGTTGCCGCCGCCGCCGACGGCGACGACGACGCAGCAGCTCCCAGCAGGCGTCCCTGCTACTGCTGCCCCCGCCGCCGCCGCAGCAGCATTAGCATCTTCTCCCACGCCTCCGCCTCTTCCGCCGCCTCAGTCTCAACCCCAGCCGCAGCCGCAGCTGCCGCTTACGGTGGCTCACACGGACCGCAAGTGTCCCAAGCTGCTGACCCCCCGGTCGGGTCGGCTGGGGGACGTGAAGCATCTGGTGCTGCCGGGGGAGATCGCGCAGGTGAGGGAGAGGGAGAGGAAGGGAGCCCGCTCCAAAGGAAACCGCAAGTTAGGGAAGGGCAATGGAAGGAGAGGGGAGGACAGTTAGGCACCATAGGGAGAGGTGGGATACATACGGTAGCCACGGTAAAGGGGAAGGGTCGGCCGGTAGGAGTACAGGTGTAACACTTTGACATGCCAGATGTGGATGTATATGTAGAACGTGCATGCCCCGTATGCAAGCCACTGGGTTGCGATAGCTATGTACCCCACGAGCCTTGTAGCTGTGGAATACGGTAGCCCCACGACACCTTTTGGTTACCTTTTGTTACCAAGTTCCAACTAAGTGCGCGACGATGTGAAACCACTGCGGTACCGCAGGCACTCCCAGTCGCCATACGCCAGGGCGACCAGCCCATCCGAGTGCGCGCCCTGATACTGCTCTCCCACGGCGGCGCGCGGCAGCTGCAGGGGCTGCAGACCCGTGGGTCACTCGAGCCGGCGGAGGGGCTACCAGGAGGCAGCCAGCCGGGGGCTGCGGAGGCGGGCGACTTGGGCGGCGAAGAGGAGGGGGCCGAGTGTGAGGAGGTGCAGTGCTACGTGGGCAGCGGGCCCGGCGGCAACCGGGCGCTGCAGGTGAGCGGAGGGAATGCCAGGGGATTACAGGGGAGTCGGAACGATGAAAAATGTGACGCACAAAAAGCGGAGGGGTGGTAAAGGGTAAAGTGTGTGCGGGCAGTTCGTTGTACAGGCAGAGGGCAACGGGACGGACGAGCATGGCAGAGGGTGGGGGAGCAAACCGGGCTTTTGAGATGCTTGGGTAGGCAGCTGTGTGAGCTGTGGCGACTGCAGGGATGCGTCTAGGAACACGTCTAGGAGCACGCGGCAAGCGGTAGGCGGGGCACCCATTCCATCCTGTCGCCTTATCCATTGCAGGTACCGGTTTCGGAGCGGATCTTCGGCAGACGCACGGAGTTCTTCAGGTTGCTGCCCGACCTCACGCTAGAGCTGGGGCTCGGGGAACGTGCCGTACAACCGCCGCTGCCGCCGCCAGCGCAACTGCTGCAACGCCAGCCGCCGCCGCTGCTGCAGCGAGCGCCCGTCATCAACGCCGCCGCCGCAGCAGCAGCCCCTCCTCCCATAGCCGTCAAGCAAGAGGCATTTCTGAGACAGCAGCTGGGGACTGGCGCCGGAGGTGCCGCTGGCGAGGCCGTCGGCGGTTCCATCAAGCAAGAGGAAGAGGCGCCGGCGGCGATGGGTACCAAAGCGGAGGAGATGTTGCCGACAGGTGCAGTGGAGGCAGACAATGGCGACGGCGAGCAGGGCCGACGGCAGCTACGATTGGGTGCGCTGGTGCCAGCAGCAGCAGCAGCGGCGGCGGCGGCAGAGGCGGCTGAGGGTGAGGAGGATGTCGTCATGGATGACCCGCCGCCGCCGCAAGGCAGAGGCAGGGCTCAAGGTGTCGCGGATGAGGAGGCGGATGAAGAGGAAGAAGAGGAGGAGGAGGAAGGCACGACCGCGACCGCCGCCGGATTGTACGACACACGCGGCGGGGGTGGTGGTGGCGGCGGCGGCAAGTGGGTGACGTTTGACCCAGCGCCGGCGGCCAAGGGCCGTGGCGGTGGCGGCGGAGGGTTGCTGAAGCGGGCAATCCATGTACGGCGGCGCTACGCAGGCAGGCAGCAGCAGGTGGTGATGCGCACCAGCTCAGGTATCGTGGGCCGCAAGAAGCACCTGCCCATTCCGCCGCAGATCCTAGAGGTAGGACGGAAGAGCGTATGGCCGGCGGCAGCATACTGATCGCTGTGGCGTGAAGTGGACAACACCGACCTGATGGCAAAAATGGCAAATGTTGTAGTTTTGGAGTCGTTACTGTATGATTGCGGATACCATGCTACTGTGTGTTTGTGCTCCAGGGCTACAGGCCCACAGTACGGCATACCTTCTCCGCGCCGCCTCTCCTCTCCTCTCCTCCACAGGCGCTTCCTTCCGACCAGCGACGAGGTATCCGACCCGTCCGCGTGCGTGTGCTGTGGGGCGGCGCTCCGAAACCACCCGCTGCTTCACCACCACCAGGGATGCAACAGCCTCGAAACGTCCTCATCCGCGCCGCGAGCGGCAACAAAGCTGCTACTGGCACTACGTTACCGGCTCCGGCCCCGGCAGCGACGACGCCTGGTGACACGCCTGCTGGCATGGACTTATTAACCGGTAGCGAGCAGGACACCCAGGTCCCTACCGCAGCAGACCTGCCGACGGCTGCAGCTGCTCCACCTTCCGCTGCGGATGCCGTCACTGCCGGCGATGGCAATGCAGCCGGCGGCCGCGCCGACACCGCCCCGAGTGGGGGACGTGACGGCGATGCGGCTGGCAGCGGCGGTGCTGGCGGCGGCAACCAGGACGAGGCACCGCCTTCGCCACCCACATCGCAGGACTTGAAGCCCTCGCCGTCGTCACTGCAGCAGCAATCACAACCACAACCACATCAACAGAAGCAGCCCCAGGACAAGCAGCGACAGGATGATCTTCAGCTACAGGGGCTCCCGCTGCTAGATGAGGTCATGTGCACCATAGGGCCCACGGGCTCGCACGGCTGCATGGCGCTGCAACTGCCCATCTCGGAACCCATGTGGAACCGACCGCTGCTGTACTACACCCTGCAAACCGATGGCGTGCTGGAGCTGGTGGTTGGGGACGTGATCAGCAGCGCTACGCCGGGAAGGGCTGCTGCCGCGGCGGCAGCAGTAGCGGAGATGGAGGAGGGGGTAGGAGCCGGTGGAAACGGAAACGGAAACGGAGGAAGGGGCGGTGCGGGCCGGCGTCGGCGGCGTGAGGAGGTGGAGAAGGAGGAAACGGAGGCTGAAGCCGGAGGGTTGGATGGAGAGGATGATGAGGGAGATGATGTGGCGACAGGAGCGCGGGGGCGGGGCCGAGGGAACAAGCGGCAGCGTGGCTTGGCGCGTGGTGCCGCCGCCGGCGGTAGCGGCAATGGCTTCGGAAATGGCGGCGGCATCGTCGGCGCCGGCGATGATGAAGGGCCTGATGCCGTAGACCCGCCCAAAGTTCCTTTTGGCCTAGCCAAGCCGGGTCCAGCGGCTGATTTCGGCTTGGAGGAGCGCCTTCAGTTGTACGGCAGTAGCAGCGATGGCATGGGCGGCAAGTCGGGTAGGGCGGGCGCTGCTGGCGGCGGCAGCAGCGTCGTCGCCGCCAGGTCTCGCTCTGCCTGGACCCCCTATGGCGATGATGACGGCGCTGAAAGCGGCAGCGACGAGTACGACGGCGGGGAGGCTGACGAGGGGTACGATGGTGGCGGTGACGTCGGCATCGGCATTGGCGGCGGCGGCGGCCGTGGCTTGGGGTTGGATGCCCTTGCGTCGGCTGCTGCCGCAGCCTCCAAGGCTGACCAGTTGATGCTGATGCAGCAACAGGAGGAGTTGGTGGCTCATCAGCTGCCGCCATCGCCGCTGCCGTTGCCACAACGACAAGGAGGCAGGCAACAGCAGCAGCAGCAGCAGCAACAGACGCTTTTGCGCCAACAGGAGCAGCAGCTGCTGTCTTCGTTGCCGTCTCAACAGCCGCGCCTAACTGACCAACAGCTCCTGCGTCTCCAAACGGATCTCCGCTACGCTGCTGGATCCCAATTGCAGAGTCAGCAGCAGCAGCAGGCGCAACAGCTGCAGCAAGCGCTACTACTGCAAAGTGGCCGCCATGCAAACCTGCCCATCGTACGACAACTGGCCAATGTACGGCAACAGCAAGCGCGGCAGCCTGTCCCAATCTCCCTCCTGCAGCAGCGACTGAACATGCAAACGCAATCGCAGCTGCAGCAACAGCTCTCCTACGGTCTGCAGCAACGACTGCAGCATGAGCAGCCACAGGCGCGAAGCGGAGGACGACGTCAGCTTACCTCGCCACCGTCACCGCAGCAGCAGCAACAGCAGGTGCTTGATCTTTCAAGCCTGGCGGCCGCAAGCGGCTTGTTGCCGTACGGTATGAATGCACCTCGCAGTGCGGCAACCGGCGCCGCCGCCGGCAGGGACGCGACGGCTGTCCGTACAGTGTTGCCTGGATCACAAGGGCTGGACGCCAGGCCAGCCCGCCGCCACCCTGATCCTCGTATGGACTATGGGTATGACACTGCAGAAGGCGACGGCGACTATGATGATGAGAGCTATCCTGGAAGGACGGGTGGCGGCGGCTTCACGGCGGCAGACAGCCAGCGGCGGCAGCGGGTGTCCCTGCCTAGCCAGCCGCCACCGCCGACGCCGCTGGCAACCGCAGAGAGCCTAGCGGCAGCCGCTGGCGGCACCAGCAGCAGCCTTCTCGCCTCACAGCTGGAGCAACTCCGGCCTGTGCCCCGGCTGCAACCTCTGCTGCAGCCGCTCCTGCAGCAACAAGCCCAGCAGCGGCGGCGTAACCTGGATCTGGGTTATGTACCTGTGTTTGCGTCGGATTTGGCAGGGTACGGCACTGCCGGCGGCGACGACGTTGGTGACGTTGGCGGCGGCGGTGCCGGCGGCGGCCTGGGCGGGACAGCAGCGCCTGCCGTCAGCATTGGGCGGCCAGCACCGCCGGCGGCGCTGTCCCCCGTCCCTCGGTTGCCAGAAGGCGGACTACGGGCCAGGAAGGAGGGCGAAGAGGACGTGGAGGGCGACATGGAGGCGCGTAGCGTTCCGTACGATATGTACGGTAAAGATCTAACTGCCCAGGCTGCAGCAGCGGCGGGGACGGCGACGCCACCGCCGGCGGGTACTTCCATGGCTTCTGCTCGCGCCGCCGCCGCTACCCTGGGCCAGGTGTGGTCGCTGCTGCTGCGCGTGCCCCGGGAGCAGACGGCGGCGACCAAGGCGCTGTCAGCGGCGGCGGCCAGCAGCGGTGGCGGTGGCGGCGGCGCCGTGGAGGACGCTGCCGTACTGGCGGGCTTCAGGAGCTGCCTCACGGGCATCTTTAACTTGCTGCTTCGGGCGCGGGAGGCGGCGGCGGCTGACTCCGCAAGGCTGCAGCAGCAGCAGGCGCTAGGATTCGAGGGCGGCAGAGGCGCTGCTGCGCCCAGTAACCGGATCAGCCGTTGTTTGCTGGTGGCGGCACCCGTACTCCTGAGCGCGGCTGAGTTCCTAGGAGAGTGGTACGGAATGCTGGCGGAGGCGGCCACTTCGGGTGGTACGGCAACGGCGGCGGCGACGGCGGCAGAGCTGCAGGGCAGCGCAACGCTGGTTCGGGCGCAGCTGACGGAGGCGCTGGCGCCGCTGATGGCGCCTCCGCCAACCTCTTCTCCGTTGCATGCATAGGCCTAGGGAGATAACTGCGCGATGCGATAACATGCATAGCAGCTGCTTGTTGATGTTGTGGAAAAGGACTCGTGGTTGGTATAGTACCTAACGCAGGCGAACAAATGGAAGTGGTTTGGTGCATGGTAACGAGGTGGGGGAGCAATGGACAGGACGGCTGCTCTTGCTGACACTCTACTGGAGAGACTTGTTCCGTTGTGACGTTGTTGCTGACCGAAACCATGCGGAACGCCGATAAGGTGCGGTTAGCCCTGAGGCGGTGCCGTCATGGCAGCGAACACAAGCCTGTTTAGTTTCTGCTAGGAGGTGCTGCACAGCTTTGGCGTCGCATAGCTCCTCTGCTTCTTACCCTGTTGTCCAAACCATGGGCTTTGGGAGGTCATAAACTGGTGGAACATGGCATCATGGTTCAACCTTGTTATTACTATGACGTGTACGCACGCTGGACCCGAGCGAGTGCCACTTGTGCAGTATTAGATTCAGTAAACTACAAACTCGCTGGATAACGGCGGCTGGACTTCGGTAGTTGAGTCCTGCTGGCCAAATACTAAAGAGTGTGCTCCCTTTCAACGAAGTAGCCGGTAACAGACGTACTCAAACACCTTGTAACCCTTGAACAATAGTATAATTTTGATGGCATTCCGTCTCGCAGGGACACCGGACACGGATGAATTGAGGTGCCAGCTGGATCCCATATGGATCGTGCGGCGGGTTTCCAGGTACTTCCTCGCTTCGGTGGGTAGTCGTTATGATCATATAAGCCTTACGCTATGGAGTTATCCTAAGTACCATACCCGCCCAAAAGTGGCTCCAAAAGCGTTGCAATGGATCTGTATGCGAGGGTCGTGGTAGACGAACAAGAGAAACAGCTTAAACACCTGTAACCTGTACAACCTATACATCGCAATATGCAATATCTAGTGCGCTGGTGCTTGGTGCTAACTCTTTTAGGGCGCCATCTTGGCACATTTGGCGCATCGACTGTAGGTTTTGCGTTTGAGCGCCCTAAATCTTGCCCTATGGCAAACAATACTAAATATCTATGGGTACATATGGAAAACTTGCCAGTCTGGTTAGTCCTAGACAGGTCCATAGGCAAAACTGCACATAGCTTGCTGCGAAGCAAGCGCCCTCCGCCTTTGGATGAGTAGGGTGATATTGGCAACTTTCCATCGCTAGGACATGGTCGCTTGAATCCATGAACCGCCCTCCTTAGCTGTTTCATAGCCTCCTTACCCGTCAGCCCTACAGCAAGTGTTTGCTTGACACCCTACACCGCCACACCAGCAGGCGCACCGCCAACTTCTAGAGCAGCAAGAACCCGCCCAACAGCGGCATAAGCATCAGCAGCAACAGCAGCGGCACGTGAGAGCCCAGGTGCAGCGTCTGCAGCACCAGCAGCAGCGACAATTCCAACAGCGGCCACATCCACATTCCGGTCCCTCTTGGCGCTCCCACTGCGAGCGCTATGAGTCTCTGTACGAGAGCGGCATTTGGGAGGACACGGTGTTTTGGCAGGAGGGCGGCATCACGGAGGGCCTTATGGGCGCCGCCATAGGCAACATGAGCTTGAATGGAGGCCGCTATCGCCAAGTCGCGATTTCAGCAGCGATAGTGAAGGTGAGCGGCAGAGTGCGATAATGGGGCATGCCGTACAGATTCCATCTTGTCACCATCTATTCCAGACCCCATCATCCCTGACCGTCGCAGTGCCATGTATTGGTTCGAGGTCTTCGGTTAGCCGTGGTCACAGCCTTCCGGTCTGAATCACAATGCCCTCCCTTGCCTTCGCTTTGCAGGGGCGGCTGTATCTCCCGGCGGAGGTGTATCTCAACATGACGGCACCGTAAGTGCTGCCTGCGTGCATGATGCGGGAGGGTTAAGTTAGACCATACCATAGGAAACCACGAATTACGGCGATACAATGGGGGAATGAGGCGGCAGGGTGCCACAAGACAAAGGGAGGGTTGGCGGCCAGGCGGGGGCCGGATGGCTGTGGTGTGGGAAGTTAAGGGAAAGAAGAGAAGAGAACGTCCCTCTCCCTTTCTCAACCTCAACTCACTCCCTGTCATGCCGTACAGTTGGTACGGCAAAAACCTGCTGACGTGGATTCACGCGCTCAAGCGGATCACGGAGCGCTGGGGGACCTCCGTACCGGATGTGGAGGTGCTCTTGGCGGCAGGTGAGGGGCAGAGAATGTAAATGTGTCAGTAGAGGCAGGTGAGACCTGCGGGGCAGAGTCGGCAGGGCGAGGGGCCCCAGCAGCCGCTGGGAGGGACTAGAGAGCGGGAGAGAAGGGGGCCATGGACCTACCGCTGTCAGGGGGGCCGTTGGCGCCACTTAGCTGCTGCCCTTCCGCTCCTCGTTCCCCTCCAGCGTCTCCCGAACTCTGCGGGTTATCCACCTCCTTCCTCTCCCCCTTCCTCTCCTTCACATATAGATGACGACCCCACACAGGACGCTGCTGACCCCAACCTCTGGAAGCAGGGCCCCTTGTGGCCGATCATGAAGCAGTGCAAGTCCTCCCAGTCCGCAGACATCACGGTGAGGCTGGCCGAGGGGTTGGGGTGTGTTGCCCCTACCTCCCTGCTGCTGCTGTTGGCAGCGTTGGCGGCCGCATGGGGTCACAGCCCGCTCGGGGCAGAATGGGCTTCCCTCCCTCGACCCGACCGCCCCTTCCCTCCACTGCCTCGGCGCCCTCACCAGGTCCCCACCTGGCACTTCTACAGCCTGCATGCAAGCGCCATGTACGTGGGGTTGCCCTGGGGACTTGGGTTGGGGTTGGGAGGTTTGGGTTTGGGTTGGGAGTTGGCAGGCAGAGCAGAAGAGAGCATTCACAGAGGGTATGGCCACACAGGAGTTGCCCTTGTTGCCCATGCCTTCCGCGCTGCCCTTGCCACCTACGTCGCCGCCGTTCCTCACCTCACCTTTCGTTGTCACGTGGCACAAGTGCGGTTGCTTCTGTACGTGCGCCGGGGTACTGCTGTGGCACTGCTGTGGCGGTACTGATGTGGTGTCAATGGCACACATGCGCAGGTTCTTCTCACAGACCGAGCGGTTCAACCGGGAAACGCCCTGGGAGGCCAGGCAGCTCCGGGCGTATGGCGGCGGGCTGCTGTGTGAGTGGGTGTGTTGGGGGGTAGAATAAACCAAACCACAAAGTTGGGGGGAGGTGTTTTCCATGTTGGCGGCGGGAAAAGCTGCTCGCTCGTCCGGGTTAGTGGGGTTTGATTTCCGTTTTTCCTCTCATAAGGATCATGTTGCTGCCGCTTGGCCCCTTGCCTCCCTGCGCTTCGTCTCCCTTGCCTGCCTCCCTCCTTCCTGCTGTCTCCCATACCTCCCTCCCCAATTAACCAGGGTCTTGTTTGCCATCCTCATTCAACACATTACTCCTCCTGCCTGCCTTGCCCCCATCCGCGTTCCCCTCCGTCCTGCGCCCTCAGACCACCGAACCATGTGGTTACACGACAATGCACGATCCCTGGAAGGCAACCTCAGCTGGGGTCCGGAGCCGGCGCCCATGCTGCGGGAGAAGTTTGCGCAATACCTGCGCGAGGAGCTGCGACACCCCGACATCGTGTTTGATGAGGGGGCACCCATCGACACGTGGGGCAACAACAAGATGGTCATTCACCTGGACGGTGCGGTCGTGGGTTCAGGGGTGGCCTGGAGGAGGTGCATGGCTGCATGCGGATTGCTGATGGCACGGCTTATGCTCTAGCGGGGAATTGGGTCATATGAGTGGTAAAGGGGCGCAGATGGCAGGATGTATGCAAGGATGAGCCTCGAATGCTGCACGGTTTGTTTTGGGTTCCGTTGCCAAACTCAATGCCCGTTCGCCCCTGCCGCCCCCACCCCCTTCTCCGCTGCATCAGGCATCACGTGCTCCTCCCGCGTGTGGCAGCTGATGGCGCTGGGGAGCGTCGTACTGGTGAGTGAGGGTGGAAAGGGGAGACAGGGGCTACCTTGCCAGCATAGCGTGAACGCGAGGCCTCTATTTGCGTCTGGCGGTATCCTTGTGTGCAGGTTGTAGGCTTGTAGTCACCCTCCCCTCCCCGGAAGGGAATCCCCCCCCCCCGGCGTGTCGTGCGTGTCCTTTTTGATTGCCGTGCATGGTATTCACTGCATGCGCGTTGTCCCTTGCCATGCATCGCTCTTGCCTTCCTTATCCCATTGCCGGCTCAAGGCCTCATAACCCCTGATGTCGCACTCCCGCCCCATCACACCCTCCTCGCCCTCTGTGTCACAGAGGGAGCAGTCCAACTACTTCTCCTTCTACGACAAGCTCCTGCACAAGTAAGTACGGCATGTGACTGCTGAATCCACTGCAGCAGAACGCATCAGTGAGTGTCACGCTCCTGTTGTCATTGTAGATACCGGTAGACCGAGCACGGCAGGGCCATGGCAGGTTGCATGGGACCGGGAACGAGGACACGCACCACAGACGGTCTTTGCCCTCTTTGGGTCCAGGAAGGCTTGCGTGTCTGCTCTTCTTCTTTCCTGCTGCTCAAGGCTATACGGAAACCTCGGCGTGCTTAGCATTCTACTGCCCATGCATACTGCATTTACTGGCCAGCACCAGAACGCCTGCTGGAACTGCCTTGATGTACGCAACCTTAACCTTGAACGTGACGTTGCAGGTACATCCACTTCGTTCCCTTTTGGCAGCACCGTCCTCGTGAGGTGCTGTGGGCCTACAACTGGGTGATGGAGAACGACGAGGCCGCCCGCCGCATTGCAGCGCGAGGCCAGGCATTCGTGCGGGATGCGCTTACCATGGACGCGCTGGAGTGCTACTGGCTGATGCTCCTGAGGCAGCTGGCGGATCTGCAAAGGTACGACCCGGGATCTGCGAATGCCGTACGGAAGGTGAAATTCGTACCGTCAGATAGCAGCAGCGGCAGTGGCGTGGATGGCGTGTCATCAGCCATGCCATCATCGTACTACTACATTCCTGTGGACGAGTGGCTAGCTGCCCAGGATGAGGGCGGGTTTCATGGCTGGCCGAAGGGGTTCTGCACCGACTTCGGCAGTAACTTGGAATTGTTGCCAATTCCGAGATCTAGTGGCGTCAGCGGGGATAAGTAGAGAGTTCTTGGGCGATGAGTGAGGCAGCAGGGCAAGCTGGCTGACCTATGCAGGGATGGCGTAGGGTTGATTTGGCCCTACATGCATGTACTTAGCAATGAAGCGCTGGGATGTTGCTTGCTCACATATAACATTATGCGCTGTTATGCTCTGGCGTAAACGCTATGCTACCATGCCTTTGTTATCTACGTTTGCGTTGTACGACAGTGCTATAGCCGCTATGGCTGCTGCGTTTTGCCGTTGCAGCACGTGATTGCCGTGTCATCAGCTTGCTGCGGGGTTGCACCTGCCGGGTCATGCGTCGTGAGGCTTTATTATGAAGTATTGGTATATGTAGTGGTGTGAATAGCGGGTGTGCGGCACTTGCATCGTAACGAGCGTGCTGGCAGCGAGTTCGCTCCTTGGAACGGATGTGTTCTTTCTCGTTGAACTCCACATTCCTGCGCGAGGCGTTCTCGTCGTTCACAACATCATCAATTGGTGCCAAGCATGAGCTTGTATCGATTAAAGGGTCGTTATAGTGTTCTTACGGTTGGGGATCGTGAGGTCGCCAAGTGCATACAAAGCTCAAATCCAGGGTTGAGTACTGCCAAAGTATGTTTGAGTCATTCAATTGTCTTTTGTTGGAGTAGTTGTGATGGGCGAATGCCGTGAACTTTTGTCGATGGACAAGGGCAATTTGTATCCTACAGCTTTGCGCCTCTATAGAAGGAGTACTCGCCTTTACAGCCTTCGTAAAGGGGCTTGATAGTATAGCTGGGATGCGTTGGATCTATTGCAGTATTGATAACTGATGTCTTTTGGCTCGTGTCGTATAGGTCAACGCCACGCGTACATTGAAGTGATCTATATGCCTCCAAGCCACCTCGATGCTGTATCTTCAATCTGCACGATGCTTAGATGATCCAAGGTCTTACTGGCAAGGCATGGTCAGATAAATCGGACGAACAAAGGTGAAGTAACCAACTTTAACCAGCCTAAATAGCGCCATGGGTAAGCCATGGACAGCATACTATCGGCTGGCGCTTTGGGCGCTTCTGCTCGGCGCTGCGATGGTAGGTATCCTTTGCAGTTGGCCTCCTCAATCTGCCATTGCTGCCCTTACATACGTATGTTCGTGCGAAACGGAGATAAATTGTCCCTTTCATTTATGTTGTGCAGTTCCAACCTGTACCCGTTAGCCCTCCCTCGTGCTCAGCTTGCCGCCCCCAGAACCTGCCATCCTCCTCCACCCCCACTGCTGCATCTGCCGTCTGATCCCGCCAACCACGTCCGCAGGCCCAACGGCAACTCCATCGCACACCCAATGGTTCGCACCAACAGCCACGACGGCAGCAGCAACAGCAGCAACAACGGCGGCACTTAACAGCCGGCACCCCCTGGCATGGTCAGTGCGAGCGCTATGAGTCGCTGTACGAGAGCGGCATTTGGGAGGACACGGTGTTTTGGCAGGAGGGCGGCATCACGGAGGGCCTTATGGGCGCCGCGATAGGCAACATGAGCTTGAACGGAGGCGTATACCGACGCGTGGCCATGCCCATGTTGTTACTAAAGGTTTGCGCTGGGTGTGGGTGGGGAACTCGTGATGACCCGGTATTGTTCCCTTATAGCAACCAGGCTGCTTCAGAGGTAGAGACAAAAAGGAAGAAACGAAGGAACCCCGTGGCGGCTTTGGAGGCCATTGCGATACATACACAGCACGGGAGCTGCGGTGGGGGGAGGTTCCTAGTTGCCGTACATCGTGCATGAAGCTCTGGTGATTCCCGTCCCATTTATCACACCCCTCACTTTGTCCCCCCACTTCTAACGTACGAGTGTTGCAGGGGCAGCTGTACCTGCCAGCTGAGGTTTACCTCAACCAAACATGGCAGTAAGTACGGAGCCAGGGTTCGTACACCGTCCTACTCGACGTTGTTGTGTGCATGTGCCATACATGCGCACCCAAAGACATGTACCCTGCATGCAGCACCCAAAGACATGTACCCTGCATGCAACAGCCTGAGACATGTACCCTGCATGCAGCAGGGCTAGGCTATGCACCGGTAGTTTAAGCCAAGGCCGCGCTACCGGGCTCGCCCTTCCATGTATGTCGTACACATGTCATACAAAGTGGAGGCGGCAGTGTGCCCCTGAATGCCGTACAGCCGTTCCGTACAGCTACATGTTCCTCTCGGGCTCCTCCATCAACTACCAACCGAATCTCAACCTAACACCCACCCCCCACGCACCATCGCACCCAACGCTTCGCTCACCCCATGAAGCCCTCCCCCGCGCCCGCATCTTCTGCTTCCTTACGCCTCGCTCCCACCCGCCACTCCTGCCCTCCCTGTCATGCCGTACAGTTGGTACGGCAGGAATTTTCTGACGTGGATTCACGCGCTCAAGCGGATTACGGAGCGCTGGGGGGCCTCCGTACCGGATGTGGAAATATTGATAGCGGCAGGTGAGGGCGCAAGGGGCGACATGGGGCCTTGTGGCACTGTGGAGAATGCAGCGGTGTCGAAAGTGCTGGTAGCAGCAGCGGTGTTGTAAGTACTGGTAGCAGCAGCGGTTGATTGCGAGAGAGAGCGAGAGATCTGCGCAGTGTAAGAACAAGGAGAAGAGGAGGCCGACGGGCGGCAGGGAGACGGTTGGCGGCGCAAGGGGAGGCAAAACGTTACACCCAGAGCTGCGAAGAGCGTGGTGTTAGGTGCGTTGGTTACCCGTGTACAGAGAGGCGTGCGGGGAAAGAGTACCGTTAAGGACCCGACGCCCATGGCCCATCCCACTCGCCCGCCTCCCTAATTCTGTGTGGGTTATTCGGCTCCACCTCCTCTCCTCCTCCTGTAGATGACGACCCCACACAGGACGCTGCTGACCCCAACCTCTGGAAGCAGGGCCCCTTGTGGCCGATCATGAAGCAGTGCAAGTCCAGCCAATCAGCAGACATCACGGTGAGGCTGGCCGAGGGGTTGGGGGTTGGGGCTACGTCGTCGGAGGGAGGTAGCGTTGTTAGGATGAAGGCACACGTGGTAGCGGAAGTGGAGAACTTGCTGTATATGTGTGCAAGCACGCTCTTCGGCTGTAGATGCGTCGGACGGTTGTCACCCGCACAGCGTAGCGAGCATCTGCTGGTACACATACCGTACAGGCCGCCTTTCCGCTGCTTGGCAGGAATGCCACACGATTGACTTGAGCATCTGTCACGGCGCTTCCCTTCTTTCCCCCCTCTCTTCCCCGCAGATCCCCATCTGGCACCTGTACAACATGCACCCCAATACCAAGTGCGTCCTACCCCCGGTGCACATGGGTTGGGATGTTGCATGGGACAGCAGAAGCGACAAAAACAGTCAACTTCCAGCGACAAAAATAGGCTAAGACTCCAGTGAAGGGAGTGGGAGCAAGCTATAGCTCTGCTGTGGCGCAGGAATTGCTCAGGGACGCCGCCGCCGTATCTACTTCCTTGCCTTTCCACGCCTTCCCCTCTCTAAGTGCCTGTGTTATACGCGGTATACGGCGGTGTCTGCATTTGCACTGATCGCTGCTGTCCATGCGCGCGCGTGCATGTCGGTTACACCGCCAGTTGGCTTACCACATGCGTGCAGGCTATTCTCACAGATTGATCGACTCAATCGGGAAACCCCCTGGGAAACCAAGCTGCAGCGAGCATACGGCGCCGGCCAAACATGTGAGTTGGGTTGTGTGAAAGGAGGGTTGATTGGCTCGGCTGGGGTTTGGGTTGCTCGTATTGACGGGGGATAGCGGACTCCCCTCGTGCGGTAACAGGGGCCCCTGCCTCCCCCGAACCCCTCTGCCTCCCCCGAACCCCTCTGCCTCCCCCATACCTCCCCTCTGCCTCCCCCATACCTCCCCTCTGCATGCAGACCACCGCACCATGCCGCTGACAGCGAACAACCGCACCTTCGAGGGCAACATCAGCTGGCCCGACAACGCCATGCTGCGGGAGAAGTTTGCGCAGTACCTCAAAGAGGAGCTGCGACATCCGGACATCGTGTACGAGGAGTTTTCGCCCATTGAGACGTGGGGCAAGAACAAGATGGTGATCCATATCGATGGTGTGTGCGTGGGGGGTGGGGGGGGCGCTGGGTTGGCTGGGTTGCTGCGAGCCGCGATGGGGGAAAGTAATGATGTGTACAGCAACGAGTCCCAATCCGCGATGGGGGGTTGGCTGCGTGGATGCATGTGTGTTAAGGTTATAAGACAACTGGCCGCGAGGCGTGTGTGGGAGAGGGCCAGGGTTGGTCTATCCTCAGCCGCTGATGTCCAGTGGGACATCTTTGGACGGACGACAACATTGCATCCCGGCTTGGTTTCACAACCCACAAAACCCCGTTGATGCTGCCGCTGCTCCCCCCGTGTATACGTAATCCTAGAATCCAGCCTAATGCGGAACTGTTGTATCCCTATTAACCCCTCCCCCTCCGCTGCATCAGGCATCACATGCTCCTCCCGCGTGTGGCAGTTGCTGGCGCTGGGGAGCGTCGTACTGGTGGGTGGTGTATGCGATCCATGGGATGAGATGGTACATATGCTCGTACAACGATGAGTTCAGCTTTACTCCGTGGCTTCCCTCCTCACCCCGAAACCCTACCACAGAGGGAGCAGTCCAACTACTACGCCTTTTATGACAAGCTCCTGCACAAGTAAGTACGGCCTGTGACTGCCGTAACCAGGACAGCAAAACGCACCCCACAAAAGCCGTTGAACAGACCCATGGGTCAGTCGTTTGGCGGGCATGTAAAACCTCCTCTTACTAGGCGGCCATTTCCTTCCAACCTTGCCCCCCGTTTCCGTACAGATTCGTCCACTTCGTTCCCTTTTGGCAGCACCGTCCTCGTGAGGTGCTGTGGGCCTACAACTGGGTGACGGAGAATGACGAGGCCGCCCGCCGCATCGCAGCGCGAGGCCAGGCATTCGTGCGGGATGCGCTTACCATGGACGCGCTGGAGTGCTACTGGCTGATGCTCCTGAGGCAGCTGGCGGATCTGCAAAGGTACGACCCGGGATCTGCGAATGCCGTACGGAAGGTCAAGACTGCAGCCAGCAGCGCGGCGGGTGGTGGTGTGCCGCAAGCAGCAAACTCCTCTACGACGACGACGACGGCGGGGCCAGCTGCGGGGTCGGGCGGGTATTACTACGTCCCTGTAGATGAGTGGCTGGCGACGCAGGACGCGGCGCGGATGCATAACTGGGTTGAGGGCTACTGCGTGAACTTTGGGAAGGCGCAGGAGCTGCTGCCGCCCACTCGGTTGTATAACGGCAATGCGTAAGGTAGCCCCAGTGTTTTTAAAACTTTTTAGGCTGGGTAATTATTTAGGAGCCAAGTGGTTACTTTGGGCCTTTTCGGGTGTTATGTTAGTAACCACCAAATATTTTTTCCGGCCGGCCGGCCGCTCGCTGGTTGTCCTTGCAGGGGTGGTTATTTTCGGGGGGTGGCGGCCATTTTTCCAGTGACCACCTGGTTACTTCCAGGGTAGGCCAATAATTTCCTAGTAACCACCCGCCGGAGGGGAATTATTTTCTGAGTAACCACTTGGTCACTAGTGACCACTTTTAAAAACACTGGGTAGCCCTGTCCAGCAACGGTGGAGGAGCAAGATGAGGGCAAGGATGTGTGGCTATGCATAGAAATATGTGCTTGTAGCAATATTCGCGCCGACGTCTGCTACCATGCAGGTAACGTGGTCGAACAAAAGCATGCGTGCGTTTAGCCGCGCTACATCCTCCCTTGCTGCTAGTCACATAGGATAGGCTAAAAGGCTTGGAACAGCCAACAGCTGGAGTGGACTCAAGAGGGTGTATGTTGGTTTTCAGTGTGTTTGTGAACGTACTATAGTTTGCATGTGCGTAGGTGTCTAGGAGAGGGTACGGGATACCATGCACGAAAAGGGCATTGAGCTCGGCACGGCTGACGGCTGACCAAACCCGGACTGGCCCGCAGAGACTTGGGTAAGAAGGTGTGTGTAGTTGAGTAGAACAAGAGCAAGCAGTGTGCGTGTGTGTGTGTGTGTGTGTATCGCGTGCATGTGCGGTGATGTGTTGCAGCAACTGAGAGGGGTAACGGTGCTGCACGGCTGTGCAGTGCATTGACTTCTACAACAGCAGTGCTTTATGCCGCTCTGTGAACAACCCGTCTGAGCAATCATCAACAAACGCGCCTGCGCGCTTGCGTAGGGCACAGGATGTATTACCTTGTCGTATAGAGTTAGGTTACAATTTATCCGTTGACGTATTGAATGGCATACTGCGGAAAGGGCCCTTGGACGGTGCCATACAGTCAACGGCACACAGCCAATGAGCTGAACACATGGCTTGAAGGTGAGGCGGTTAGGTACCGGGCCGGGCACGTGACAACAATTGCGATCAACAGTCGCTTATGCACGCGCGCTGCTCGTTCCTTCCTAAGCTTCCTAGCTGTTAAGCTGCTGCGGTGGTGTGGGGTTACTGTATAGCAGCATTATCGAAAGTGCTTTCCGGAAGATGATGCCGGAGTCAGGGCCAGGACGCTGTTAGTTGCCGTGGGGTGCCCCTACGCATTGCTGAAGTGCATTGCATGTTTGGAGTTGTAGCAGTATCCTATGTCGGTGTTGCCGAGTCGCCAGTTAACCCAGTTGCTCCCCATATGAGAACTAACAGGGACCAGACAGCCGGCATATGTAGAGGCCCTCTGCTCCACAGGGCAGCATGGCAGGCATAAAGCGTTAAACATGTTTTCAGCAACCACCACAACAGTTTCCCCATGTCACAAACGTACCGACGTATCCTACTGTTAAATCCTGCTGTACAGGCCTTTCCGGCCGTACCTACAAAACAACGTCCGCCCATGCATGTACCGGTATCTATCCCCCTACGCACATGTCCGCACCATGCTACACAGCCAACCCCTCGACTCATCGATCCCTCATCGGAACACAACCCGCCAGCCATCTCCGCCGCACGCCGCAAAGCAACCCACCAATCATTTTCGCTAAACGATACACAGCGCCCCCCTGCAGATACCGTACTCGCTAGCTCCCCGATCATCCCGGGCGAGCTCTTCAATCAACACCTGCAGCGGCGCTCCTTGGTCCTGGCTCTGGTCGTCAGTACGGCACACCGCCCCTACCTTGGAGTCCCGCTCTCCCGCCGGTATCTCCTGCCGGTAGACTCCGCTCTGACACCATGTGATGGCAGGGGTGAAGGTGGCCCTCATGTCTCAGATCCGCTACACCGCACACACATGCCCTCCACACAGCTCCCCGCCATCAACTACTGGTATTAGCTCTTGGCCTACCGTACTTCATTGGTTTCTATGTCTCCGTTCCCGTCCCGTATCTACAGATACAGGACAGGGCAACAGTGCTGTATGTACGGCCCAAACATCATTTATTACGTACCATTACCAGCAGCACTCCTACTACGCCTATGTATGTACGGCTCACCCTCGTCCGCTCCCTGCAGCCCCACTCCCTGCAGCCCCACTACACCATGCCCTCCACATCAGACCACAGCCGCTCCTCCTCCTGCGGGTCAGGCGGGCCCTGCTGCCGCCGCTGCTGCCCCCCCGACCCCAGGCTGCCGATCCAGCAGCCGCCCGACGTGGACATGGTCTCGTCCGCTCCCCGCAGCAGCTCCTGAGGGCGGATGTACGATTGTACGGCGTCGTATCGCATCGGAAGGATTATCATCATAGGAGATTATGAATGTGGCCGTGTGCCTTTGTGTGTACTTTGCTTTGCGTCCTATTTATTGCGTTCTACTTTTTGTACTTACCCTATATTAATAGTACAGGAGTGTGCAGGGGTGGCAAAGAGAAGGATGTCGGTATGGCATGCGGGAGTGGAGTAGGTAAGGATGTGCAAAACCATGCCGGCCCGCCCATGGCAGGCGTAAGAGTGCGTGCGGCCAGTTGTTCGTAGTTGTTCGTAGTGGTGTGTGTGGTGTGCGGCATGGCTCGGGGCTGTCAATCAACATCATGCCCTGCTCACAACCCGCTGCTACCGGTAACTCGTCCACGGCATGCGGAGCAGCTTCTGGGTGTGTGGTCGGTTGGGGTCGTCAGTCAGGTTGTCATGTCATGTCATGTCTTGTTGTCTTGTTGTCAGGTTGTGGGGCCACCGGGAACCACCGGGAGCCACACGCGGTTTTCATGTCACCTGAAATTATGCGGCGCTTTATGCCCCTGAAGCAACATGCAAAAGTGTGTATCTGGGTGGGAAGGAAGGGGCCTTATGCTCAATTTGGCTATATATCTTTTTCCCGCAATCCATTTGTCATCAAAGACAGCTCGAGTTCTCTCGAGATAATGGGGTCGTCATCGTATAGTGGTTAGTATCCCCGCCTGTCAAACTTACACTGCCCGCGGGAGGCCGGGGTTCGATTCCCCGTGACGGCGTTTTGGTCTTTGGCCTAAAGGCCATGGCCGTTACCTTTTGCCTGCAATGATCTGACCTCTCTTTATTTTCTTCAGCTAAAAAGTAACGAGCCCAACCAACGGAGGGAGGTGCGTCGATCGAAAAGGAATGGACAGATAGTTTGTGCCTTGTGTATTTTTGTAGTCATTGGCGATTCGGGCGCTTTGGTGGGTGCTTGGCTGCTCGAGTGCTCGGGCATTATGCCCTTTGTATGTAGCCTTTATATATGTTATCTTTTCTATATTGCACAAGCACCTGTGGCCGAGTGGTTAAGGCGCGGCCCTGCTAAGGCCGTGGGGTTTCCCCGCGTGCGTTCGAATCGCATCGGGTGCGTATTTTTTGTCATTTGTGTTCGGAGTAACTTATTTCTTCGCATCGTTCTATCCTTCGCGCGATTCAATACTATTGTTATCAACATACTCGACGACTATTGCTACTCAAGCCAGAACCGGAATGTCGGACCTTGGCCGGACATGCCCTGTTGTCCATGTCCATTGATGGTCAATTGGTCACCGTTCGCACGTGATGTTGGGCAATACATATACTCGACGATGATCATTACTGATCGCGTCTGCATCGCAGACTATTTGGCCGGCTTCGACTGCCACCCGGTCATCATGTCACGACAACATGATGTCTCCGCTTACCATGGCTCTCGGCGTCAGGCGGTACAGGCACTTGGTGTGGTGTGGCATGAAGGGCAGGTGCGCGTTATCGCCCTCTAGGTAGCTTGGGTCAACATCCTGCATAGACAACCCCAAACGTTAAATGTTATCGTAAACGGGGAGACCTAGTTGCCGTACAGCTGCAAGATTGAGCGTCACACCATTGCCGTATACTACTATACAACTAACAGGACGGCTATAGCATGAGAAAAAAGCCAAGGCTGCTGTGTCGTACGGTTGCCGTACTGTCTCATCATCATACCTTGTGGAGGAGGACGGGCTCGGCATTGGGAATGTTGTACACCTGGATCCAGCGGTTAATGCAACAGGAATGCAACAGAAGGGTGTTTTTGACATACGTTAAAAACCACTACAGACACAAAAGCCGCTGCCCCACATCCGCATCCGCATCCACCCCGCTCTGTTAATTTCTTCCTCCTTTCAGCTTTCACCCTACCCCACCCACACGCAATACACACACCCGCTCCACCCCACCCGCTTCCCCACCCATTCAACTCCCCCCCCCCTCCACCCCACCTGCAGGAATTGCGCCACCGTCCAGTGCAGCCAGCGCATCGCGAACACCCGCAGCGTGAGGCCGTGCGACACGATCGCAACACACGAGCTCTCGGAGAACCTGCGGCAGCAGCAGCAGCATGCGGGCGGGTGGGCGGCCGTGCATGGAGGGGGGGGGAAGATGAAGAATTAGATAAGTGAAATATCGAGCCCCAATCCCATATCCCGACTCATGCAGTGAGGGGGGGTAAAAATAAAGAAACACTGACAAACTGAATGACGAGGCTCCACCATGTATGGGTGAGGGGGGGGGGTGTTACCGGCGGTAAGGAAACTTGCATGCGGGGGGGCCTGGGGTGTGTGTTGCATGTGCATGTTGGGGTTCCAAAGAGATACGGTACACCAAACCACACGTGAGGACGGAGTTATGCAGAATAACAGCACCAGGCAGCAGCAACACCAGAAAAAAGGTTGTACCTACCACGGTCGCACCCCGGCTCCCCCTGCCTGCCGTACCTGCCAGCGCACATGTCCCGTACGAGGTGATCTTGGAAGATGGTGATCCTGTCGTACACATCCGCCACCGACTCGCCCGAGGGGAAGCGGTAGTAGAAGCGACCGTAGCGCAGCCGCTCCTCCTTGCACTCGGCCTGGAGGAGGAGGAAGAGGAGGAGGAGGAGGGTAAAAAGAAAATAAAAGACACTGACGATGCAACTGACGAGCTGTATGACAAGGCACAGGAGGAGGAAGGTGGGCGGGAGGGATGACGCCTTATTTCACGACCTGTTAGTTGTTTCCTCTTTACCCCCCCCTCCCATGGGACTCGTTGTTTCACATATTTAATTTTTTCCCCCCTCCCACCCCGCCGCCTACCTGCACCCTGGGATCCTGGAAGTTGCCCCAGTCCTGCTCCCGCAGCTGAACCGCCTCACGGCAGCCGCTCACTAGCCCCCCGCCCAGCTCGCCAGCCAGCAGCCTGCAGGGGGAGGTCAAGTTAGACCAAATCATGTGAAACCATAAAGGGGTTTAGGGGAGGGAAGGGATGCATGCATGGGGTTGGGGGAGGGATGTGCGAGCTCCGCCGGTGAGGTGGGGTTTTCATGGCGTGTGGCGGGGGGCAGGGGGCCTGGGTGGCCGGCGGTGTGGGAGTTGCTGACAAGGCTTGACAGGCTTGAGGAGGTAAGGGGCGAGAAAAGAGCGAGCGGAATCGCGGGTACATGGTTTTGTGAAGCACCTAACGAAGCCGTACCCCGTACAACACCAAAACGGAGCTCCGGCGCATGCCGTACATTTGCGACCCCTTACCTAGCGGTTTCGGAGCAGCGTGCGAAGGGCGAGGTGTACATGAAGAGGTGCATGCCAGCAGCGTGCAGCGCGGGTGCCAGTCGGGTGCCCAGCAGCCGGGCCTGCTGCTCGCCGCATTGGGACAGCGGGATGTCGTGGTTGGGGACGCGCTCGTGCGCTTGCAGCTCGTCCAGAGTCATGCATTCTGGTGTGGGGGAAGGTAAATACCCAATGTAAGGGGGGGGGAGGGGGGGGGAAGGATTGTAGACATGGTGGGGCTGGGGGTGGTGAGGAGGGCGGAGGAGGAGGAGAGGAGCTTGGGACGTTTTTTTGAGTAGTAGTTCGGGGTTAGGACGGTACCGGTAGGTACAGGTGCCAGCAAGGTACTCGGAGTGTGTGATCAACTGCACTCAATGAAACCCCGCAGTGCCCTTTAAAACGCCAGAGCAACCCATGATGCTTCCCACATCCAAAAGCCGAAGACCTTTCACTCCCTTCCCCAGCCCTCCCCTTCCAACCCTCCCTCCCAGCCCTCCCCCCCAGCCCTCACCTGCATGCCTCAGCAGCATGATGCTTGCCGGCAGCCGGGCAACCACCTCAGCCCGAGTGCCGTACCCAACCGTCGTACATGGTACGGAAGGTACGGAAGATCCAACCCAGTCAGGCCCGAAAGAATGGCCAGGCGCGCCGCCGCCGCCAATGTCGCAGCTGCCGTCGGCACCGCCACCACGGCCGTCAATGCGGCGCGCCCGCCCGTCGGCGGCGCCCTCGCGGGGACCCGTCGGTTCCGAAGATGAAGCTAGGTCGCCGTACATGCGCGACGACGGACGAATGGCATCCACTGGTGGCAACGGCGCTTGTGACCCATGGGTCGCTCCCGAAGCAGAGCCAGTGGATGGTGGCTGTTGCTTGTCGTCGCGCGCGCCGACGGGATCCATTCGACCCGGCTCTGTCGTACGTTGTCGGCCCACATGCTTCGAAACCACGACCTCCTCGGACCGCTCCTTCCCAGTAGTAAAACCACCCCCGGCATCTTGACCGGAATTCCCCCCTCGCTTCTCACCGCTGCCGGAAGCCCCACCACCGCTGCTGCTGCTGCTGCTGGCGGCCATACCAGACAAGCATCCACAGCTATCCTCCACTACCCCTCCCCCTGCTCCCCCCGCTCCTCCTCCCTTAACCCCCACACCAGCCTTCGCCCCACCGCAACTGCCGCCACTGAAGCCATGCGGACCATCCTGTCGTCCCGGTGCCGTCGAATAGTGCTGTCGTATTGTGGTCGTGGTACGTCCGCTACCGCCGTTACCGCCGTTACCGCCGGCTCGACCCCTGCTGTTGAGCTCCTCCTCATCCACATCTGTGAGGCTCCTAATTAGGACACTGCGACTGTCCTTGCGCAGTCGCAGGCTGCTACTGCTGCTATTGCCCTGCTGTGCGAGCGGGAAGAAGGAGCTCAGGAACGGGAAAGAGTCGTGCCGGGGACGGTAATAGCGGCGATAGGCTGGCCCAGGTAGTGGGCCTTGTACGGCATGAAGACAGCAGGAGGTGCGAGTCGTACGGGGGGAGCACAGGAGGCCGGGGTTGCTGGATGTCGAGCTGGAAGGAGGATGGCGGTTACGGTTGGCGCCGAATTGGGTGTGGGGGATGGTGGCGGCGCTTGCTCCGCTGCTGCTGATGTTGCGGCTTGCGGTAACGTACATTGTTGGCGAATGAAGTTGACGCGAAAAGGAGGATTTGGGCTGGGGAATGGCTTGTCCGAGGAAGGCAGATAGATGTTGTGCAGTCAGGGAGGCTGACGAGGCTTGGAGGAAGGCTAGTTCTAATGAAGAAGGTGCGGTGAACAATGGGCTGGCTAGGGTGGGAAATGGTTGTGAGCAGAAAAGGGCTGCTGCTGGGAGGGTGTGAAGCGCGCAACGCGCGACGGCGGGCTGCAGAAGCCAGAGGCTCCGACAGGCAGTTGGGTTGCGGAGTAACGACATGCAATCTACACAGCTGTCGGCCTTCCTTGCAAATGTAGCTCATGTTAGGTGTAGGAATTCCTGCATACTTGTCATCAGAGGTGACGTAAAGGTTGGGATCGCGGCCGGCTGCACCCGTCCGTTCATCTCGGAAGCTAGACCGACCAACGCCCCATCTGCATTCTACAAAAGGGTAGACAAATAACAGTGTCTACACACTACGGATTGGACTACTCTTCTGAGGTAAACGTTTACAAAGAAAGACGGTTGTTCCCTCGCCCCTGCCACTTCAGGCCAGTTTTTGGCCCCGATTAGCGCTGAACACCTGTTGCTTACTGCTTAGACTATGAAGGGCGACGCTTCAAACATCTACAAATGGGTGGTAGACGACGTGGTGGCTGGGATGGCGCCCGAGTTTCAGGCCGCCAACGTAGACGAGTGAGCAGCGCAAGGCACACGTTTGATGTAATATGTTATTGCTACTACCCATCAAAACACTTCGCGGCCCGATCGCACAGGTCGGTGCTCATGGAGCTGAAGCAGAAATGGGAGGATAAGCTTAAGCAGCAAGGACTTATTCATGATCATGACACGGGCGATGACTTTCTTGGGCTTCATATGCAGTAAGTTCGGCGCTCTGTACCAAGGCTGAGCTGTTGCCCGGAGCTCGCATTTAGCAAATGCATTACGCGCGTCAATATGCAAACACAGGCGCGGTGGTGCAGCTGGTCACGGCGGTGGCGATGATGATGACGACGGCCAGCAGGCTGGGCCTAGCAGCTACCTCGGGAAGCGCAAGCAGCCGGATACAATCTCATTGCCCCAAGCGTTGGCAGCCAACGCCCCAGCCATGCTCGCACAGCAGTTCTTGGTGGCCTTTCAGCAGCACGCGCTGCAGATCCAACAACAGCAGCAACTCCAGCAGCAACAGGCGCAACTGCAGCAACAGCAGCAGCAACAGCAACAACAACAACTCCTGCAACTTAAACAGGAGCAGCTGCAACACCAGCAGCAGCAGCAGCATCCCCAACTTCACCGCCCCCAGCTGGCCCCGCAGCCGCACCTCCAGCAACAGCAGCCCCACCACAACGCACACCTGATGCAACCGCAACAACACCCCCACCCGCACCCACACCTCCAGCTGGCCCCCCAATCTCACCTACCGCAACCCGCATCCCTCATGCAGCCCCAGCCCCAGTCGCAGCCCCCTCCCTCCCAGCCCCAGCAGCCCTACTCCTTCTACCCCCCTGGAGTCATTCCTCAGCGTGATGGCGACGACGGCGCCGGAGATGCCGGCGATGACGCAGGACCGGGCACACAGGGGGGCGGCGCGGGCGAGGGTGGCGAGGGCGAGGCGTCTCCCGAGGGTGATGAAGTGCTTTCGGAGGACGAGCACGAGGAGAACGATGAGGACGAGGTAGTTGAGAACCTCATGATTGGGCAGTTTGAGAAGGTCAACAAGATGAAGAACCGATGGAAGGTGGCGATGCGCGACTGCGTGTTTCACATCAACGGCCGGGACTTCCTGTTCAAAAAGTGCAATGCGGAGTTCTCTTGGCAGTAGGGCGGTTGGTGGTTGGCCAACGGCGGTTGGTATCCCTGGTTGTTAAAGTGGAGCGGCAGTACGGCGTTAATGAGGAGACCATAGTCCGTGGATGACAAGTTTAGGGCGTAGGAGATGAGGGAGGGAGCGGCAGCAGGGTAGGACAGCAGCAGGGCAGGGGATAAGGAAGGACAGGTTTAGCAGGACAAAACAGTGGGAGTTGCTTCTGTAGAAGTGTATAGGGTTGGCAGGTTGCGTTGCTGGGTATCTTGGTAGTTACCGCGCACCCCTGAGTTGGGTATCACATAACACATGGAGGCAGGTGATTGTCCTAAGCAGAAGAGTGTGGTATGAGCTTTTTTCTGGTAAAGACAATATTCCGACAGTGATGTAGGGGATTGAGAGGTTGTGCAGTAAGGGGCGCGAGCTTGGAACATACGGGGCAAAGGAGGGAATAAACACTTGGATTTGGGTCCTTTGAGTGGCCCGACTGCGGGGAGGGAAGTTGGATTAGTGAAGGTAGAGCATGGCCTATCAACGGACATGAAGACGCATAAAGGGAGGAGCCATGTTTGGTAGGTTGTGTAAGGGCGGTGGTAGGTAGTGCCGTGTGACTTGTTGGATATCGGTATGCATTGCTAGGCATCCTGCGAATTGATGATCCGTTCTACATCGAATAGCAATTGCTCCCTTGCGCCCTGAAGCAGCGGGTTGTAAGAGTCGGACGCTGTGGTGCAGGATGGGCAGGATGCTGTGCGTACTGGTCGTAAAGGACCGTTAGCGTCCAACACAAGACATAGGGATATATGACATTTTTCTTCAATTTCCATACATGTATGTGTTGTTGGCTTGCACTGGTCGCTGTCAGCCGCAGGTTGCCACACGGATGCTCGTACGGATTAGGCCCTGGGATTTTGGTTACCTTGGTTCTGCTGTCCTTGCAACTGTAATTGTGCGTTCCTATATGGATACGGTTTGGTAGAAGTTTAAAATTGGCCAGGTTACAGCGATAAGCACCTTGTAACATGCTAGTTCGGCAAGGCGACGTTGGTCGGATAGTGCAAAGCACGTCACAGTTACACCCAGCTGCGCATCCATTTAGGTGTTTGCGACCATTACACCGGAGGGCCGCAGCGGCCACGGCAAATGCGCATTCGGACGTCGCTTCAGAGGCGGTGCTCGTAACAAACGCGCGTGTTGCAGTTCAATCTAATCCTCGAGAAGTATACCAGATATGCGAGGCTCCATGCTGTTCAACATCCGCTGCCAGCGCGGCGCAAGGGGCACCGAGCGTCGACCCAACTGTCTTGGCAGCCCTCGCCGGGCTAGGTCTGACCGCGTTCGCGCTGAAGCGCATATTCGACACCCCTTCCCGGAAATATGATAACAACGTGGGAAAGGAGTACGACGCGTGGACGGAAGAGGGCGTCCTCGAGTATTACTGGGGCGAGCACATACATCTCGGCTACTACTCGGACGAGGAGCTAGCGCGTGGCTACTTGAAAAAGGATTTCAAGCAAGCCAAGTTTGACTTCGTTGACGAGATGTTGAAATTCAGCGGTGCGCAAAACCCCAAGACCATCCTGGATGTGGGCTGCGGCTTCGGCGGGACCAGTCGCCATCTGGCCAAGAAGTTCAGGGACGCCAGCGTCACCGGTAAGCAACCCCATCCTCCCTTACTCTCAACCCGTGTACTGGCCCCTAGCCGTGTGGGCGCCCCGGCCCCCTTCGGTGCCGTTCTGCAGCCCATCCCATCACCGCTTGCACCCATGTCCTCCAGGCAACCTCTCAGTCGCATCGCCGCTCACTCGCTCCTCCTCCCTCTTCCCCCTTGACGCACGCGTCTCATCCTCCCTCCCTCCCCTCCCCTCCTCTCTTATCCAGCCTCATGCGGAATCTTCATCCCTATTAATCCCCTCCTCTCTCCCTCCCCTCCTCGCTTACCTCCCATCTCCCCTCCTCTCTTTGCCTTGGCCTCACTTGTGGTTTGGTATTTCTTCCCCCCCTCGTCAGTTGCCTCGTTAGTTTCCTTATTTGTACCCCTCTCCCCTCCCCTCCCCCCCTCCAGGCATCACGCTGTCATCCAAGCAGGTGCAGCGGGGCAGTCAGCTGGCGGAGCAGCAGCGGGTGACCAACGTGAACTTCCAGGTGGGGGCGGGGGGGGGGGGAGGTTGGGGGGGCTGGGGGCAACATAGACTAAACAATAGGAAACCATGAATGGGCAAAACAATTGGGGGACAGGTGGGGGGAGAGGTGGGGCAGGGGGGGGAGAGGGAGGAGCACACTGGAACACCCTTAATGGGCCACCCTTATTGAGCCACCCTTTTTGAGCGACCCTTATTGGAACCCTACCTCTCGCGAGTACCCCCATAACCCATAACCCACCCACCACCTCCCTCCCTCCCTCCCTCCCACCCCCCACCTCCCTCCCCCCCCCCTCCCCCCCAGGTAATGGACGCGCTGTCCATGGACTTCCCGGACAACTCCTTCGACCTGGTGTGGGCCTGCGAGAGCGGGGAGCACATGCCGGACAAGAAAAAGTGAGGCGGGGTGGGGGGCAGGGGGTGAAGTGGGGGATGCCGCGGGGATTCCTACACGCCGCAAACCCCAAGCTGGGCGCACATAGCAAGCTGAGGGGGGACGGAGCTGGGTGCCGGCATGGCCCACCCGACCCACCAACCAACGAACGTTGCTGTGTCCACCTGTTGTCGCCCTGTGGCCTCACCACCCTAAGACACCCGGTCCCGACGCAGCTGCGTTTCGTGCATGTCGTGCTCCGAAACCCGCCAAATTCGAAGGGAAGAATACATGTGCCGATCCCCCGCGTGCCGATCTCCCCCCCAGGTACATTGAGGAGATGACGCGGGTGCTCAAGCCGGGTGGCACACTGGTGATTGCGTGCTGGTGCCAGCGGGAGGCGGAGACCCACGGGTCGGCGCCCCTCAGCGAGCAGGAGAAGCGGGAGCTGCAGTTCCTGTACGACGAGTGGGCCCATCCGTACTTCATCTCCATCCAGGAGTTCGAGCGGTTGATGAAGGTAGGGTGGGGTAAAGGGTGAAGGGCGCAGGAGACGGGGTTTGTGGGGGAGGGAAGGTATAGGGTGTTGTGGGGCGTGGGTGGTTTGGGGTGGTTGCGGCTCCAACTGGTAACCCTACCTTGAACCCTTCCCGCGCTTCCACCCTTCCCCAGCCCTTCACGATTCCGCGCTACCCTATCCACGTAACCCCTCCCTCCCCCCACCCCCATAACGTCACAAACATGTTTTCCCCCTTCCCCCCTCCACAACCCATGCACCACCCTCCCCCCCCCAGGGCACGGGGACGCTGCAGGACGTCTCCGCCGCCAACTGGACGCGCAACACGCTGGCGTCATGGCGGCACTCCATCTGGGTCGGCGTGTTCGACCCGTGGGTCGTTGTGCTTAAGGGGCCGCGCATCTGGTACAAGACGGCGAGGGAGATTGTGACGCTGGAGCGCATGCACCAGGTACTTGGGGGGGTGGGGGGGCGCGGGGGGGTGTGAGGGGGAGGGATTATATAATAAATGCAAAGAACTAGAGTCCCAATCCCATATCCCGACTCATGGGGTGGGTTGGGGGGGGGGGAGGAGGTGCAGGAGGGTGGGAGCTTTGGGGGTGGGGGAGGGTGGGGGTGCGGGTGCGGGAGTGGGGTGTGTGGTGATACATGAGGCCAGGGGTACGGGGGTGCGGGTGGGGGTTCAAGGGTGTCCGAAAGGGGATCGGCTTGGTAAAAGTGCGGGTCCGGGGCACGGTGAGGGTGAAGGAGCGTAGGGCACGGAGGGCTGAACAAGGCACGGAACATGCATGCCCCATGCGCGTGCCGGACCCTGTCGTCCCGCGAAACTTGTGACTGTACGATTACTTGTATGTAGCCCAACGACTCTCCCACCCACCCGGTCCTCCCGTCACCAACTCGGTCCTCCCTCGCAGGCCTTCGCGAAGGGCCTAATGGAGTACGGCATGATGACCGCGACCAAGAAGCCGCTGCCGCCTGCTGCTGCTGCGGGTGCGGCGGCGGAGGGGGCGGCGGCGCCTGCTGCTGCAGCGGCGGTTTGAAGCAGGAGGCAACATCACAAGGAGGAACAGCAACAACAGCCGTGACAGCAACAATGACAGTGGCGACAAGCGGCTGCTGCAACAGGAACAGTACATAGTAGCCGGTAGTAGCAGCTCTGGCTCTGTTATGCCGTGTGGCCTTTTGGTCGTATGACCTGGGAACGGGAGCATTAGCGTGTAGCGGTTATACGGTTGAGCGGTCAAGTGGTTCCGGTAGCGGTTACAGTCGTGTAATGCCCATGGGCGTTCCGGTAGATGAAGGGCTTTCGGTTGATGTCGTTATCGTACTCTTCTACTTGTTGTGCATGACCGTACTGAACGGCTGTCGTACGACTGCGTGGTTGCCGTACGACGTACTACACAGGACGCCCGGCACGGTGTGTACGAGATCTCCTAACGGTAGCGATGGACGTTCTGACTTGGCATGTGATGTGGTGATGCAGTGGTGTTTCGATGGGCAGTTTTGGTATCGGGAGAGTGGAGCGACATGGAGAAGGAAGGACGAGAGGGGGAGAGAGATGAGTGACGTATGCAGCAGGCAACGAAGGGTTTGGAGAGGGGCGAGGAGGAAGACAACACTACAAGTTGCTTCATCAGGTTACACTCTTGCATGTAGTGCCATGTGATGTTAGCTTGAGAGCCGCGGACGGAAGGGGCGGAGTGGGAACTGTTGAGAGGGTTACGATTTGAGTGCTTTGTGCTAGGCTTGGCATGGTTCTGAAGCCTGCCTTCGGCCTGTTGCTGGCGATCTGGTAGGAGATGGAAGAAGCCCGGTGGTGCGTGCAAGGTACAATGCTTGGTACGGAGGAGCCAGCTTGCCGTACGGTCTGATTGCCGTGTTGAAATCCACCGATGCGAGCTTTTCGCGTGCAAACCTGGTGACACGATCAGGCCCCCTGGGTTGCAGCGGTCCCGAGAGGAAAGCGGCCACTGCAGTTGGCTACGAGCCTACTTGGGCCTGTGTTGAGCGCGACCCGAGGGAGCTGAGTGGCGAAGGACTAGCTGAGGGCTTGATACAACGCAGGCGTGCATAAGTTCAGTCCTGCATCTTATACCCGTCGACGGTGCAGATACATGTAAGCGTATCGGGCATGTCGGCAATGTTTGGCAAATTTTATGTGTGGGCGTAGTAGTCCAGTGGCGCATTCCGGGCGCGTAAATGCATGCGCCACTGGGCTGAGAGTACAGGCGCGCGGGCAGGGAATGGAAAGAGAGGACAGGGGTTTGCGTTGTGTAGGGAACATTGTGTAGGAAAAGTGAGTGTTGAACTGAGGGGCGCTACTGGCCAGCGGATTACTGGTAGCAGCTAGCATCCGTACGGAACTCAGTTGGCCATTAAGCGTGAATGCAAATCACGGAACGTCTGAAACCAAACCCACCAACCAACCGAACAACAACTGTGCACCACGTAACCCCTGCTGCTCGTCAGTACGAAGCGCGCGCAGTTCAACGCGCGCTGGTCCCGGTCTGACCCACGGGTCACGTAACAACAGCAACACAGGGCGCAGGCCAAACAGGGCTGTCCAATGCCACTGGCCCTAATCCACACCTCACAGGGCCCAAGTTGGGAGGTGTGCGTCTAATCGTAACCTAGTGCTGTGCGTATCCTGAACACCCCTCGCAGTAGCCGCCCACGTATCGGTACCGTACGCCCATCATCTTTGCCCATGTCCTCGACTTCACCTGTGCCTTTGCGCCTACATCACCTTGGCTTCACCGGTGTTGCCTTGCCTAAGCCCCTTTCTTGGTGCTCCTCCTCCGTACGTCGCAACAACAACCATTACCGACAAGGCTGCCTCATCCCGGCAGCCTCTGCCACTTAGCCGCCGAACCAGGTCACCATCCATCTCCTAAACCGCCTTCACTCCTGGCGTCAACTTCAACTGCTGAACCTCTCAAGCCGTCCCATGCACCCCTTTCTATCTGTCTCTGTTTCTATCATGCATTCATGCCTCCCCTTCCCGACCCTAGACTTGACACCCCGCTAGATGCCCCATCTTCAACACCACACGCCGCCGCTGCCTCGTCGCCCACCGTCTGCTGCCGCCTGCTAGCCCACAGCTGCCGTCCTCGGTCCATCGTCTGGCCCCATCACTGCCCCCATCACCGCCGCCGACGACGACGGGCCTTCCGCCGCCGCTCCCGTCTGCAGTACCGCTGCGCTAGCAGCCTCCGCTGCCTCTCCACCTGCCTCCTCCCCGACCGCAGTCGTAGTCGGCCCTTCCGCAATTCCGGTAACCGCCGCTCCTCCGCCTCCTCCTTCTGCTGCCGGCGGCGGCCCCTCCTCCTCTGCCGCCGCCGCCGTCGCCTCATTATCCCCGGCCGCTGCTGCAACCTGTCCTCCAGCCGCCGCTGCTGCTGCTGCCGCCTCCTGCTCCTCGCCCGCGCCCTGACCCACCACGCCGCGAATCCACTTTTCAACCTCCCGGTGCCCCCGCTTGCGTGCCACGTGACAGCAACCGCGCCAGTTGGCCTGCAGCCAAGCAACGTCCAGCAAGCCCTGCGCCTGCAGCGCCTGGCAGACCTGCAAGCAGCCGAAGCCACAAGCCGCGAGCAGGCAGTCCTCTCGCAGCACCGGGTCTCCACCGCAGTTGAGAGCGCCGAGGTCCAGAAGCTCTGAAACCGCTTTGGCTGCGTGGGGCAAGTTGGGATCGTGCATCGCGAAAGCGAGCGGCTTGGCTCCCAGGTGGCTGCTGAAATCGATGTGTGCTTCTTGGGCCATGAATTTTATCGCGTTTATGGAATGACCCTGAGCTACAGAGTCCACGGCTGCGCAAAGTACCAGACTGGTGCGTTGCTCGTTGGCGCAGATTTGGAATCCGTGAAGCAGCAGCCGGCGCGGTATTTGCAGCTTATCAGTTAACAGCGAGCCGCAGAAAGCAAGTTGGCCGTGTGCGTTTGCGTCTGCTCCTAGCTCAATCGCAGCCTCCAGGATGTCCGGGTTGTTTGCAGCCGCTGCAAGGTTGCAAAGGTGCCCCATCAGCGGCTGCAGCTGCACTCCTAGCCGCGCTAGCTCCCGGCAAACGGCCACAAATTGCGTGTTGCTGACATAGCCTCCATGGACCAGGCTAGCGGCAGTTGTAAGCTTCTTCTCGTCTCCTTTTTCGCAGCACCGGTTGTTTACAAGCTGAGCCAGCAGGTAAGGTTGCCGCAACACATCTTGAACAGCGGCCCGCAAAGCTGTGCAGGACTTGCCAAGGCCGGGCGAGCCGCCGGTTTGCGCGGTGATCTGTGCTAGCAGCTCTGCGGGAATGTCCAACAAACCCGTGGCTCCTCTTGTCGTTGTTGATGCTGCTGTGAAGGCTTCAGCTGGTGTTGCAGCTACGTTAAACGAGCTTTGTTGCGCTCTGGGTGTTGCAGCTACGTTAAGGGGCGAGAATGTGGAAGTGGATGTCGGAAAAGGCGAGGGTGTCGGCTCCTGCCCTTTGGATGGAAAAGGCCGGAAGAGCGGCCCTCCTCGTAAGCTAAGCGTGCTGATCGACGTTGCCATAGCTCTATATGTGTCAAGAAGGCGACATTTAAAGGTCGGGTGTTGGGAGCTTGCAGTGTATGGATTGCCGCAAAGCAGACAGTGTGCTCGCTATCCCTACTCCTGACGTCCTCAGCGCTAAGGCAGTACAGGTGAACGTGTTTTCGGCGTTCTATAAGGCTATTTTGCTATAAGGACATTGTGCTTGCAACTTGAGCGCTGCGGCCCCATTTGCCTACTCCCGTGGCCGAAAGGGGACTCGTAACAATTTTCAATGCGTCGTATACGGCTGCTGTCTGTGAACATGCTAAGCATGTGTGGTGTTGAAAGCCATTAACATTCCATTCGCATCGTTCCCTGATGCATGAGTCTGCAGCTTAATTGAAATGGTGCGCCACTGTTCGCGCGTTTGCAGCCTAGCGACCCATGGGTCGGCGCACAGATGGAACTACGGCTGCCACCAGCAACCAGCAGACTACGGCACGCTAGACTGTTATATAATATTTGCACGCATGCACGCATCTTGCAAACTTCATCCTGCCATGCCATGCAAGTACCTCACATGCTTCGTGCCGTACTAGATGAATGACCGTTACAATGGGTACCGCCACTGCCCCATACACCCCTCACCCTCCCCGGACGGCTACGCCTTAATCGGTGGCAGCGCCGGTGCCCCACCACCGCCGCCCCCCTCACCCCCCCCATCTCCACGCCCGCTGGCACTCCACCGCCCTGCTCCCAAGCTCCCAGGCGCCTCCTCCTCCTCCTCAATGCTACCATCAACAGCGCCTCTGCCCCCAACACCCGTAGTGCCCCCATCATCAGTGCCCCTCCCCCTTGGGATTCTCTTTTCCCCCTCGTCGGCTTGCTCGCCTTCCTCATTCAACGTATTGGGTGTTCCATCATCAGTGCCCCTCCCCCCCCTCAGTGCATGGTACATGGCGCCCGCTCCCGCCACATTCAGCGCCGCCAGCAGCAGCAGCCCGGGAGGCGACTGCCCGGCGGCAACCAGCAGCACGAAGGCGGCAGCGAGCGCCAGACGCGACCAGACGCTGGCGGAGTAGAAGCCGCGAGCGCCCTGGTCCTAAGGGGGGTGGCGTACGGAGGAGAGGAAGAGGTGGTGGAGAGGTAAGCAAGGGTGCGGGCGCGAGATGCCAACAGGTGCGGCGCACGCGCGTACGGGCATCTGCTGGTCCGGCAAAACGATGGCAGAAGGATGTGCCGCTTAACGCAGCCCCCTGCACTGTATGCGTGGCTTTCCCGCAGCCCGGAACCATGTTGCGTGCCCCTCACTCCCATCCATGGCCCATACCCCACCGTAACCCACCGCATGCTGGGTGTAAGGTGCACCCGCACTTGTGTCTTTCCCAAAACAGCCCCAAACCCATACCTTTGCCGAAATCTATACAGTATCCAACAGGGCGGGCACCACCCACCCAAAACCCACCTTCCTGTCCCCAAGTGCTGTTCCCAGGTACTGCCAGCCGATGAGGGTGAACAGGATGCCGCCAACTCGGATCCAACCGGATGACACGGTTTCGGAGCGGAACAGCAGGCCTGCAGCAAGCGGTGGGAGCGCCATTTCCGTATCGCATGTTACAATATCGTATATTACAGTTACAGTCTGTTCGCGTGTACAGTGTGTCCGTACGAGCCAGGGGGGCCAAGGAGGAGGAAGAAACAGGGTACTTCGATGCCCCTGGCGAGGCGTAAGGGAATACATGGAAGCGGTGACGCAGGGTTCAGGAGGCTGGGGGCATGCACGCAGGCTCACCAAAAATGGTCTTGGGTGCAATTGTAAGTGCGAGGCCGAATGCTACTGCGTAACTGCCTGTGAAGAAAGCGGTTTTGTGTGCAGCCTGGTTCGCAGGGGTATTGGTGTCTTTGTCGTACTGGGATCTGCAATCGAAAGGAGGCGCGAGCGGGTTAAGGAATGCGGAACAACGGCATCCCTACCGGTGTTGCTACCTGGGATACCCGGCAGCTGCTTGCAAGCTGACAGAGCCAGTTCGCGCTACGGACAACGGCACCGGGCAAGCATGCCTTCTTAGCTGGGCGCTTGAAAGGGCTAACGAAGGCGCATGGATGGATATGGATGGGATAGTGCTGTGGGGCGCTCGACAAGGGGACCAACTAAACGCTAATCTGGTTTTCGTATACAAAAGCGGACAACACAAGCTAGAGTAGACACAAGGGCAGGCACAGGCACCCTTGCGCAGGCTAGACCTCGTGAGCATCGTCTCTTTATGCATTTTCACCCAACAAGTAAACTAAATAACTCCAAGCTGCCCACGTAAATAGCCGTATGACGTTGGCCAAACTCACGGAGTTGTGGCTGGCTGGCTGCTGTTTTTGGGAAAGCAAGCTGAGTCCAACGGCCGGTACGGCCCTGCTGAGACGGGCCTGTGCTGAGTTGCTGACCGTGCCGAGAGAGCGTGCTGCCGCCTACCTGGAAATTATGTTAAGCACTGACATGTTTACGCTGTCTCTAGTAAAGACCCGTGTATGAAGTTTGAAAATATGCTTCAAGGCCATTGCTGAAGATGAACGCCGGCTAGCATTTTTGCACCCTTTGGCTAGCTTTCAGGGTAGACCTAGATGGATAGCTCCCCGAGCCCATCTTTGGCAGCAACGACTGGAACTCATGGTGGTCGCACCACCGGTCGCCAGCGGTCCAAGCCCAGGGAGTTTTGGCGAAATGATAATCCACAGACGAAGCCAGCGCCTCGCGATTTTTGTGAGGTCCATGTCAGGCCCCCTGTGACGGTGACGAAGTCAACCGGCAAGAAAGGCAAGTGTTGCCAGTTATCGCGTTGCGTGTAAATTTCTGCAAATTTGTGACAGACATATATAACTTTAGAATATTGGAACAATATACAGGTGGGGCCCGCGGTGCTGGTGATTCTCCAACTGCGCGACCGAGCGCTACAAAGCCCTTGCGTCTATCGTCAGTGCTCGACAAGGCTAGCCCCCGCCCACAGCAAATACATAAGCGGCAATCAAATGCTCTGGATGGCAGGCATCCAGCGACAGAAGCAGGTGCTGCTGCTGCCAAAGGCAGCACGCAGCATGCGGTTGCCGACATAGGCATGACCAAAATTACAGGCTCTCCCGGCATCGGGCTTCGGAACAGGATTGCTAACTCCCCAAAGCAGCTTCGTAAGCGGCAAGAGGCGCTAGGTGACCACACCAATCAACTGCTGACATCTTCACCTGAACGGCCACGGCGCTCGCTCAAAATCACCGAGGGCGCCTCGCCCGGCAAATCTCCCGCACCACGCATCACAGCTCCCGCACCCTTACCCGCAAACGGAGCGGGTCCGTCACAGCCCTCACAGCGTGCAGCTGGGGGCCATGCGAACAAGCGGGCAGAGCAGGCACTAGCCGCTGCGGCTCCTCCTCCACGAGACACCGCAGCAGCAACAGGTGCCTCAGGCTCTGCCGCCGCCCCAGCCCCAGGGGTCGCCAAGCCCAAGCGCAGGGACCCTGTGCTGTTCTCGCTCATCAATGTCCGCTCGCAGGCTCCGGATGCGGTTGACCTGACTGGGGGCGGTGAAGACGGCGAGGGCGGCCGCCGCACCCGTCGGGCCGCTGCCACCCGCAACGCCACGCATGGTGGATCTGCTGCTGCGGCAACAGGGCCAGCCGCGGCGGCCGCACCTGCGGGCCTGTCGGGTCGTGGGGCGGCAAACCCTCCCAGCAGCAGAGCTGTCAGCCCTCCCAATAGCAGCACCACTAGTGACACGCTGGCTGCGATTGCCGGGGCAGCAGCGGCAATGGCGGCATCAGCACGGCAGCGGCAGCAGCCAACGCAGAGCGGGAAGGCGGCGGTGGAGGGAGCCAAAGCGGACGGTCGGGGCCAGCATAGTGCCGGTGGCCGTCGTGTGGTGTCGGCCGGCCCCGGGAAGAGGAGCAATGCCGATGCTTCCGCTGCTGAGGAGGGAGGACCTGCGGAGGCAGCGGGTCTTCGGAGTAAGAGCACGTCCCGGCTTCGCAACGGAGGGGTTGCACCGGCGGCAGACGAGCTTGAGGGAGGCGGCAAGCAGCAGCGGCGGGGTGCAAGCCGGCGTCCGGAGCCGCAGCAGCAGCCACAGGCGCAGCAGAAGCCGCAGCCTCTGCCGTCGAAGCAGCAACCGCAGCAGGAAAGCACGCGGCAGGAGCGTAGTCGGGAGCGGGCACGGCCTGGCAAGCAGCAGCAGCAAAAGCGACACGAGGAGGTAGAGGAGGAGAAGGAAGTAGACGAGGAGGAGGCTGCTCGTCCTTTCAAGCGGTCGCGCAAGGCACCTGCTGCACAAGTCGCAGCAGCAGCACCGGCCAAGTCTGCGCACCCGACAAAGCAGAACCCAGCCGCCGGGAAAAAGGAGGGAAGAGGAAAGGAGGCCAGGGCCTTAGTTGAGGCTGCAGAGGCTGTGGTAGCGGGTCGTACGGAGAGTGCTAGACGGCAGCAGCAGCATCAAGAGGAGGGTCGGCTCCGTAGCGGCAGCAGCAAGCGGGGCGGTGCTGCAAAGAGCGAACGACGAAGGGCCGCAATCGCAGAGGAGGAGGAGGAACAGGCGGCCGATGACGGCGCGGTGGCAACAACGGCGGCAGCGCAAGAGGAGGAGCAGCAGCCACAACAGGAGGAGGAAGCAGAGGAGGAGGAGGAGCAACAGCAGACGAAGCCCGTGGCTGCCACATCCGTAAGGGCTGCTTCCGCAGCTACTACAAAGGAGGGGGGAAGCGGCGGCGGCAAGCAGGGAGCCAGCAGCGGCGGCAGCGGCTCCCATTTGGATGCGGCTGCTGACGCGGCGGCCGCGAATGCGGCAGTGGGGCTTCTGGCCAGCCTTGCCACCACCAGCGGCAACAGCGCCCTGTGCGAGACGCTCCATAACATGTCGCTGCCGCTGCTAGGCGCTGTGGGGACGGAGAAGGCGGGGCAGTCGAGGCAGCAGCAGGGGCCCCAGCGACACCAGCAGGGGCCGCAAGTGCAGCAGCAGCAGCCGGACACGCAGAGGGCTACAACAACGGAGGGTAGGAGAGCCGCCGGCAAAGAGGGTAAGAAGCGGCGCCGGGGCCAGCCAGCCCCCACAACGGTTACTGCTCCTGCCGCTCTGGCGGGTGCTGCCTCGGACCGCGAGGCGATCCAGTCCCGACCCACATCGGCACATGCAACCGTTCCGGGACCGCATGATGAGCCTCCTGCTCAGGCAACGGAGGAAGATCCGGGTCTGGAAGCCACCCAGGAAGTCGAAGCGGTGCAGCACCTGGATGACCATGCAGAAGCAGCTGCACCTGCAGCGGCAGCGGCAGAAGCTCCTCTGGGAGATGCTGATGGTCCCGACAGCCGCAGCCAAAGCGCTCTTGGTTGCTCTGCTGGCCGTCCCCGGGATGTTGGTGCTGCTAATGCTGCCGCAGATACCCTAGTCCCCGCTGTGGATGCTGCGGGCGCGGCCGCTGCAGCGGATGGCGACACGGCTGCGGCTGCGGTTCCTCGCCCGTCCGCAGGCCAAGTCGCTGCCATGCACGGTGCCGCTGCTGCAGCTGCCGTTACAGCCCTCCCCACGGCAGCGGCGGACGCTGATGCAGCAGCGGCGGGAGACGGGGAGCCGGCGGGGACGGCGCCTGGACAGGCCTGGTCGCCGCCGCCCTCTCATTACCACCACCATCAGCAGCAGGAGCAGCAGCAGTACGAGCATCACGAAGAGCAGCAGCAGCAGCATCCAGGAGCGGCGATGCTGCAGGTGCCGCGTCGGGTGGATTCGCCCGCAGAATCCGTGGCGCAGTCGAATGTGCCCCAACCCCGGGGCCGCGGAGCAGCAGGGGGAGGGGTTGAGGGTGAGGACGGCGCTGAGGGCGCATGGCTGCTTCGCCCGCGGCCCCGGGGCGGGCAGGCAGGACCCGGGGGGCTGCCGGTGGGGTCCTCCGCTGGTCTGCGGCTGAGCGCGGCCGAGGTGGTGGAGGGCTGGGGCGGCGGGCTGCTGCAGCAGGATGCGGCTGCCGGCTTCCTGAGGCGGCCGACCAGGTGGGGCGGGCGATGCAGGTTTTGGAGCTTGGCTGCATCGCATGGCCGGGTGTGCTAGCTGTTCATTGCACGAACGGACGGCCCTAGCGTGGACGGCCCTTGCAGCCGAAGCCTGCATGCGGGTTTGGCTGCCTGGCACGCACGCCTGCATGTTTTCTTTGCACGTCCCCATGTCTGAATCTGCGCGCATGCTCTGACCGAGCTCTGCTGATCTTCACCCATGCACACCTGCAGGCCGGCCCCTCCGCCGCCTCCACGATTCCCTGCCTCGCCTGCTGACCCCGCGGCCCAAGGCCTGCGCCAGGCTCCCGCCAGCAGCTTCAACGGCGGCAACCGAGACGCGGGTGGCAGCGGGGGCTTTGGCGGTGATTACCGCCTGCAGCAGCAGCAGCAGTCCCTCCTGAATGGCAGTGGCAGTGGCGGCGCGGGCCCCCATGCAGCGCACCAGCCTGCGATGGGACACCGGGGCTACGCAGCTGCTGGCATGGGGATGCGGGACGGGTTGCGGGAGGCAGCTGATGCCGTACCGTACGATAGGAGGGAAGCCTGGGATGCGGCGGCAGCGGGCGTGGAGTCCCAGCACGGCCATTGGGCTCCGCAGGAGGGGGAGAGGGAGGTAGCGGCAGCGGCGGGGGGTGACGCTGCAGGAGGCTGGAGCCAGCGGCAGGTGCAGGGAGGGGCAGGGGGGCAGACGGGAGCTGCAGACTGGCAGCAGCAGCAACAGGGGCTGCATCCTCTTGATCAGGCGTCGCAACAACAACAGCAGCATCAACCTCCTTACCGATCCGGTCAGCTGCAGCGTCCGGGGCTTCCGCAGCCGCCGCTCGCACAACAAGAGCTGCAGAAGCAGCACCAGCGGCGTTATGAGCAGCAGACTCAGCAGCCGCAGCAGCACTACGACGGGGATGACCATGACCTCCCTGGTCATATGGATGCTCGCATGGTGCTGGGAGGCCGCGGCGGGCACCGAGAGCAGGTGAGGGCCGGTGTCAGGGTGGTCCCACATGAGGGGCAGTGGCAGTGGCCTAGTTGGCGTGGCGTAACGAGGGCTGGCGTCGAAAGGAAGTGGATCTCATGGTAGGGGGAAGGTGGCGGCGGGATACTCAGAGGTCATGCTGGGAGGGCAGCGCGGGATGCAAAATCAGGAACTGGATGGGCCGGTGATGTCTTGTAGGAATGCTAGGTTGCATGTGAGCACAGAGCTCGTTGATCTGGCTATAACTGTTGCTGCACCCCCGCCCACTTGCATGTGCATAGCTGCTTCCTCATGTGCTTCCTCATGTGCATGGGTGCTTCCCATCTCCAGGATCCGTACGAGTTCACGGTGGGCTCGGATGACCGGAACGCCTGGGATCACGCAGCTCCCCGGCAAGCGGCCTACACGACAGGCCCCGAGCTGCAAGGGCCGCCCCCTCATCACCACCAGGAGCGCCAACAGCAGCCGAACCACCACTTCCAACAGCAGCAGCAGGACCGCTACCAGCAACAACCACAACAGCAACCGCAGCCACAGCGGTATTTTAGTAACCAGGCCGCAGCGGCAGGGGCTTCCGGGGGCCCCGGGGTTTACGACATGCAGGCGCCGTACGACCGCACGGGTGGCCACCCCATGGAGGAAGACACTCAGGGCGGTGGCGGCCAGGGGCCTTATGGGGCTTTTGCGGATGGGCGAGATGGCCACAACGCCCTTCAGTCTCCCCATGCGAATCCGCGCGCGCATGGGCAGGGACGGCCCTGGGATGGTGGTCATCCCACCAGTCCTCGAGGTTACGACCCCGCCTCTGCAACCCTGCCGCCGGGGCCAGCTCCCGACATGGCCGCGCAGCAGCCGCAACAGCAGCCGTATCCGGCGGCGCGCGTGGCTCCCACACGTGACCCACGGGTCATGCCAGGCACCGGGATGCCGCCCGTCCCTGGACCAGCTGCGCCGCAGGGTCACCGTCCCGGTGACTCCCAGCGCACCATTGTCCGAGGCGGTGGCGACGCCATGGATGTGGATTGCGGCGGTCGGGGGCCCAGCGCACAGCCCCGGGGCCCGCCTCCCCCTCACCCCCAACAGCAGCAGCAGCAGGCCTCTCAGCAGCAGCCACTACGTCCCCAGCCGCCGCCCCCTCAGCAGCAGCTGCCTCCGCAGCAGCCCCTCTTCCGTGTGCCCACCCTGCGCGGGGGGCTGGTGCCGCCCACCCTCCGATCCACCCGACCTGCGGCACCGCTGCAGCAACAGCAGCAACAGGAGGGGGCCCCCAACCCCCACAACCCCACCTCCCATCACCCGCACCCCAGCCTCAGTGGCTTCAGCAATGCGGGAGGGGCTTTCCAGGTGGCTCGCTCGGCGGCAACAGTGGGTGCAGCGGCCTCGGCGGCGGCGGGGCCGCCCCCACACCCGCAGCAGCAGCAGCAGCCTCCCACTCGGCCTGCGGGCTCAACTGGAACGGCGGCGGCTCCACCCAATCCAGCTGCCGCCATGGACAGCATCCGAATGGCGCTGGCGCGAGCGGATCAGATAGCGCAGCGGAACAGGACGCGGCAGCAGGAGGTGGTGGAGCGAGAGGAGGTAAGAGGGGAGGGCTGGGCTGCCAGTGGGGGCCGAGGGTTTGCTTGGTTTGGGTGCTTGGGTTGCATGGCTGCTAGGCATGTCGAAATGTCGCACCGGTAATGGCTGCACGTCGCGTCTTCACGCCCATTGCTTGTGCAACCCTCGTTCCCATGCATGCTGTGTTCCCATGCATGCTGTGTTCCCATGCATGCTGTGTTCCCATGCATGCTGTGTTCCCATGCATGCTGTGTTCCCATGCATGCTGTGTTCCCATGCATGCTGTGTTCCCATGCTTGCGTCCTACAGGACGGTTGGACGCTGGAGCAGGTTCAGCTGCTGCAGGTGGGCTCGTGCGGACCCGGAGTGACCTGTCGGGTGAACTGTCCGGGAAGGGAGGTGAAGCAGAGGTGGCTGTTTGGTGCGCTGTCCTGGCTCCTCATGGGGCCTGTCTTCTTCCTTTCCCAACACAGTTCCCTCCGTCTCGCTTCTTTCATTGTGTCCCTCCCCCTTCTTACCCCGCACCTTCCCTCCTCCCTGCCTCCCTGGCCCGCCCCCCCCCCCAGTCCGCCTACTTTCGCGTGGAGCCCACCCACCCGCAGTTCTGGGTGGAGGTGGCCAAACATGTGCCCGGCAAGACGGCAGGTGAGGGGTGGCATGTGCGGGTTGAGGTGGGGGAGGTGGAGGGCGGGCAGGAGGGGAACCTTGCCAGGCGCTACCACCCTCTTGCTGCACTGCCCTTGCCCCACACGTCACCCCGCCTCCCGCTCCGCCCCTCCTTATGTCCCCCCCCCTCTCCCCGCAGCCCAGTGTTTTGCGCGCGTCTTCTCCTCGGGCGGCAACCGCGAGGAGCGAGCCAAGCTGTCCCGACTGCTGCGCCGGGCGGCTCCGGAGGGGGCAGGCGGCGCGGGGTCGGGCGCGGGCGGCAGCGGGAGGCCCATGACTCTGGCGGCTGCACGCAAGAAGGCGCAGAAGGCGCATGAGCGGGTGAGGAGTGGGGAGGGGGAGCATGGGAGAGGGGGCTTGCACGGAGGCGGGATTGCATGCGCGTGAGGGGCGCCCTCTCCTCGCCCCCTGATGCTTCTCATGGCCGCCCATGTGTCTGCCCTGTCGTGTCACGTCCGGCTGCTGCTCCCTCCCGCCGCACAGGACCAACTGGAGCGGCTGATGCGGCTGACGGGCACTGACCCGTGGGTCGGTGGGGCCTCGGACGGGGAAGCGGAGGAAGACGATGAGGAGGATGTCGAGGGCGAGGAGGCGGAGGGCGACGAGGAGGAGGACGAGGCGCAGTCCAAGACCGCTGCCGGTCGCAAGGCGGGTGCGGGCGGGGGTGGTAAGCGGCGAGGGGGCGCCCGTCGTCCCGCTCCGCACCTGGGTCTCCCCGACGACCCCGAGGAGCTGCGTCTCATCGTTGAGGAGCTGCAGCAGAAGCACCAGGCGGACCGCTTCATCACCTCCTTCCTGCGCAAGCAGGGGGGCTGGGCCAAGTGGCACCGCGCGGTGCGGGACGCGCAGGAGCGGAGGCTGCGGGGGCTGGCGGCGGAGGCGGCGGGGGTGGGGGCGCCACCCAACACGACCCAGCAGCAGCCCCAGCAGCAGGGGGGTGGGGGTGGGGGTTCCGCTGCGGGTGGCCCCCGCAAGGGCGGTGGGGGTGGGGGTGGGGGTACTGCCGGGGCTCATCGCACCCGTGAGCCGTCTGACCCGCTTGCCCGGGTGATCCGTCGCATGCTTGCTCGCGAGGAGGCGGCCCAGCTGCGGCGGCTGTGGCGGGAGGACGACCAGGCGGAGGGGCTGGTGGGCGGGGAGGAGGAGGGCGGGTGGGAGGAGGAGGAGGAGGAGGGGGGTGGGTACGGGGCGGGCGGGGAGGAGGCGGAGCGGGAGGAGGAGGAGATGCGGCGGTTCCTGGTGCAGGAGGGGCTGATGGGGCCGGACGGACTGCCCAGGATGGGTTAGGGGGTTTCTGACGAGATGAGCCAGTCTTAATGATGTCTGGAGCACGAACGGTTCGGGGATGGGCAGGCGGGTTTGGCCTGTAACTCTGTTGTGCAGGTGTGGGTGTGTGATATTACCGGGAATAGCAGGCATGTTACCAAAGGACGTGTTTTCCTTTTGCTCTTTTTAGCCGGGCCCTCCTCTTTTAAAACGGCCAGGAGGGCCCGGCTGAAAAGAGCCATCGCATTTCCCATTTTACGCATGGCCCCATTGCAAGCCGAGGCTTAGGGACGGGGGCGGGTACAGCAGGGCATGTACGGGCTGGGCGGGTTGACTCCCTACGTGCATGCCAAGGGTTGGATGGGTCTGGGAAGGGACGCAATGATAGGTATGGTGTGTCCCACTTTGGGAGGGGAGCGCAATTTGCTGCGTTCCTTAGTTGGGGTAGTGCTTACAGATGGAGGACGGAGGGGCTCATGCATGCACCAGAAGCGGTTCTGTCTTCTGGTTATGGCCCAAGCTGTCTCCACGCGTCATCCTACCCGTCATACAGCAGTTTTTACCAATTGTACGGTCCTTACAGTGCTTTACTACAATGTTGTGCCCCCCGTAGCTTCTGCTGTACAGCATGTGTCATGCAAGTTGTGTTGTGCACCATGTGCTGCCTCGCTTGCCGGCACACGGATGTTGGGTAGGGTCCCAAGGTGGGGGCCACATCCTCCTGTTTGTTCCCACTTCGGCGACCCGATTGCGTGTGTGTCTTGCGTTGATATCATTGTGTTTTGGGAAGAAGGGTGAGGTTCCATTGAAGCTAGAAGCTAGATTGACGGGTCTATTAGAGTACCGGTAGTCAGACCTTTTGGCTAAGTAGGGGAGGGGGAGCTCCACCGCTGCCCATCGCAGCTGCCCTTGTGCCGCATGCCACGGGGTAGGTGAGCGGCCGCAGACGCCGCCAGGGGATATGTGTTGCACCTTTCGTGCAGCTGAGGGGCGCTGAGAGAAAGCGTTCTGGGCTGTGGAGGTTGAATGTAACGGTATGATTGCCTGGAGCTTGACCTTTTTTGAGGACAGAGAATAGGGTATCGTACACCTCGCATGGCCATTGATGTAACGAAGTAGGATTAAGGTTGGGGTCAAACCGGTTGCAGGAGGTTAGTGGAGGCACCGGTACTGTACCAGTCATGAGCACGAGGGAGGTCAGGGTTACTGCAAGCCAGCGAGGGCCCGTCCATTGATCAACCAGTTAGTTCAACGCCTTTTGGAATGAGTTATAACCACCCAAACAAATACCTACAAATACCCAGCCAGTACCCAGCAACCCGCCAACACACTTCTTTCGTACCCCCCCCCCTTTCGCCTAAACAGGAACCCCCATGGGCGCCTAAACACTCCTGCCGTACACCCAGAAATCCTTGAAGCCTTCCGTTGCCTCGTACAGCGCTGGTAGCGGGTACGGCACGCCTGCTACCGTAGCAGCAGCAGCGACTGCTCTTGCGTTTGTCGCTGCCGTTACTGCAAAGGGGACTCGAAGGATGCTAGCCAAGAAGTGTGGGTGGAGGGAGCCCGCATGTGCTATGGCGGCATGGGCGGCGGCGTTGTGACGCGCCAGGATGCCTGCGGTGGAGCCGGAGGAGGAGGGTGTGTTGGGGTTCGAATGCCGATAACTGATGTTTCTAATCTGGTACGGCGGGGGTGCTGTGTGTTTGAATGGAAGCACGCTCATGGAGCGCTGATGTGCGCCGATGTGTGCTTCATATTTAGGCGCAATCTGGTGCGACCTGACACAGGTGCAAACGGGTGTCTGGTGAGACAGTAAGACAGTACCATAAGCTCCGAATTGACAACGGCTGAGAGCACCCCACACCTTACCCGCGCACACCCTGCCGAACGTCCCAAAATGTGTGAGCAGCATGATGCCCACCACTGCCCCGCCCTCGCCCTCGCCCTCGCCGCCACTGCTGCTGCCCTCGCTTTCATCTCCGCCACCGCCACCGCCGCCGCTGTCTCGCCCTTCTGGCGGCTCCACGGCACCGTTGCTGCCGCTGCTGCTTCCTCCTCCATCTCCTCCTCCTGCTGCTGCTGCTGCCCCCCGCTCCCCGCCCTCCCGGAGCAGCCAGATGTTCCCCGCCTCTAGCTCCCGGAGCACGAAGGCACTGTCCAGGGGCCACACCTCATAGCTGGGGGTGCAGGGGGAGTGCAGGGGGAGGGGGAGGAACAAGGAAGGGTTCGGCATAGGAAAGTGGTGGGTTGATGCAGTTTGGCAATTTCCTGGTTTCTGTGGTAGTAAGCGAGTAGTATCACTGCTATGCCCGTTATGGTCGTGAGGGTCGGCTGGAAGAGGGCGCTTGGGAGTGTGCTGCAAGATGTGTGCTGCAAGAACGGAAGTCCCGACCCAAAAGGTCCCCAAGCGGGCAGCGCATTTGCGAGGCTGGCAGCAGAGATATCAGTAGCAGTTGGCATTCCTACAAATTCAGATTCCCTATGACTCGCACTCACGGCATTGGCAGCCACAAGAGCGGCTCCTCCGCTGAGCCCTCGCCCATTCCACCTCCGCCTCCGTTGCCGCCGCCGCGACAGCACCGATATCCCCCACCGGCGCTGCCTGGGTCATCATCAACTCCTCCCCCTCCACAGCCGTTGATGTGGTTGCGACAGCAGCAGCAAGAACAACTGCTACAGCGTCCGCGGCTGCTGCCGTTGCTTTCGCTGCTTTCCCTGCTCTCGCTCCTCCCATTGTTGCCTGTCTTATCACCACCACCCTGGCAACCGGGGCCCCAACCGTTACCGTTGGCATGTACGACGCATGTTGTACGACAGCAATGTGTCCGCATACCGGTACGCGCATACCCGTACGGATTGCCGTACAAGAGGCTAGATACGGCAGTACGGAGCTCCGAGGCGCATGTCGTACGCCTCCAGTACGGCAACAGCGCACTTGCGGCCGCATCGGAGTCCAGGACCGCTCTGGCGCCTGGTGGTTGAGGTAATTGGGGAAAGTTCTCGAAGTGCGGAGGGACGGGTACTTTGTGACAGGGGACAAAACTTCAGGTTTAAGCGTCTGTTGGTAGGGTGATGAGATGCCTGTCCATTCGTGGATGTTGTTTACCTTGATCTGCTAGGGATGAAGTACACGTCAGGGGTGAACGAAGGAAGCAAAACACACACGCACTTGCAGTAGGAACCTCCCCCCCGGGACGCAATCCTACAATCCAGCCTTATGCGGAATCTTCATCCCTATTAACCCCCGGGACGCATTGCAGCTATACTTCCCTACGAGCTGACCTGTCGTGCACAAACCTAATCTTTGCCGGCACTATCTTTTTCGATCCACCTCACGCCCACACCCACCAGGCAGCCAGTCTAACAGGTGGGGTGGATCGAGCCTCGGGGCTTTCGCCTCCTCCTCCTCCCCCGCCGCCGCTGCTTCCGCTGCCGTAGCTGCTACCTGTACCGCTGCTCCCACCGATGCAACATCAGTAGCGGAAGCGGAGGCAGCAGCAGCAGCTGCTGCCGTAGCGCTCCATTCCGCCATAGCCGCGTCATGCGCAGCGGCAGACTGACCCGCGGGCCATATCTCCAACTGCCACAACGGCCCCTCCAACTGTCGCCCCAGGATGCGCTGTGGTGCGGGATTGTACGATGTCGTACAAGAGATGAGGTGCCTTACTGCGGAGGGCCCGCAAACGCAAGCAGCAGTAACCGTCTTGGACGATCCATGGGCACCGTCTTTTCCGTTTGCAGCAGCAGTGGGAATAGCAACAATGTCGGCGGTTGCGGTTTCGGAGCCACCATGTTCGGAGGGTACGGCAGGTCCGGGGGTTTGGAGCGGGACGAGGGGCGGCGGAGGCGTGGCGTCGGCGGTGTTTGCCAGCTGCTGCGGACCCCGCGTGCATGCAGCCTCCTGCGGGTGGGGGTGGGGGTGGGGGTACCCTTAGAGGAACAACATATAAGAGGTTGTGTGCCGGGTTGGAGACACGTCAAGGAGCCCAGGGTTCGTGGAGCTGGGAAGGGCTCCTCATCACCACCAGCATCAAGGATGCCGCTGACCTAATTCCCGTTGTCGAGTCATCCGCCCGCCGGCGCAAAACACTCCTCGCCCACCCCCCCCATCATCCCATCATCCGCTTCGTCTCATCCGTGGTTATGTTTTCTCCCCCTACGGTACTCCTCTCACCCACCATCAGCAGGTGTCCCAGCCCCCGGCTCCGACAGCCCTCCCGGACCCGCAGGCCGTACAGGAAGAGGGTGGCGCCGCGCCGTTCCGCGCAGACTGCCGGGGGGAAGGGAGGAGGGGAGAGGAAGGAAGGGAAGGGAGGGAAGTTACAGAGGTGCGAAGGATTCATCAAGTGAGGAGAGAGGCCGTGTACGGAGAGCGATGCTGGACAGCAGGCGTGGATACCGGTAAACAGAGCTGACCAAGAGCTCCTAGCCAAGGGAGTTAGAAACGAGGCGAGGGGAGCCTGGAGAACACGGGAGTTATGTTGACGCTGGAGGGAGGGGGCGCTACCGGTACTCACTGACGCCATCGATACGCTGTGCTGCTCCTCTTCCAGCCGCTTGCCGAGGGGCTAGCCGTCCTTGCTGCTGCCCTTCCTGCCCTGGCTGCTGCCCCGGACCATCCTGCTCCTGTCGCCCCTCCACATGTGACCCCGGCTCCCCTGTTGCATGCTCCCCTGCCTCCTCAGACACCGGCGCTTCCGCCGTTGAATCCGCGTCCCCAGACGACTCCGCTGCGAGCACCAGCTGGCCTGGGTCGGCCACGATGCGGTGGACGATGCGGGGAAGGTAGTCGGAACCGCCATCTGCAAGCAGGAGCAGTGATGTTGGGATGGGAGCGGAACTTCTAAGGCTTTTGTACGGCGTCATACATACATTTTATGGTAGCAAAACGTTTACGGGCCACGTCAAAGCAGAAGGCAAGGTTGAGAGCGATACACGATGACCAGCAAGCAAATGCAAAAGCGTGCGAAAACTCACACACGTTCGCGCATATTTCCTGCAAGTCCTTAAGATCGCGTTCATAATTAAATAATCGCACTCGGTGGGGGAATGCACCGCGCGTCTGAGAATCAGTGTCCATGACGATTGTGACGGGCCCCCGAGCTGCGGCCAACCTAATCGTAAGAGTGACCAGTAAACGCTTTCTGTAGCATTAAGCAGCGTCGACGGTAAATTTACGAGTTAAGTTGAGCTTTCAGTCGCGACCACCTGGCAGTAATCCACTACAAGTATAGCGGTACTCCTGAGCGTCGCCTATGATACTACTCCTACATATTGAGCTGTTAACCCATAAAGCGAAGCTGCTAGGATTAGTACGAGCAACCCAATTTGCTCCAACCGGTGCTGGCTTAGTCATAAAATGCATAAAAGGGCTCACGCCCGGATGAGGTGGATCAGTGCTATACAGATCACAAGGCGAGTACACGTTTCCATTTCTTGTAGAGGGACTATCGATCCCAAGGACTTCAGTTTGTTTGTTGGCCCCCGCCTACCAGGGCGATCGAGGACCAAGCATTAAACCAAATGCACTCGCAAATGCGACAAGTCAGCAGGACGAAAAGCGCAAAGGGTTCACAGAGACTCGTCCAGAAGGCCTTTAGCATGCGGTGGGCAGGCCCAGCTGCGCTCGCGCGGGGTTTAGGATTGTGCGTCGCCCTTGAATCGTTCTGACTCCCCTGTAATAATCGCATACCGAGCGACTACCGGTCACAATCGCTCGACGTCCTAAAGCTGTTGTTCCTCAGTTTTGGGTTGCCAGTATGCAGTATGAACGCCATCACTATGTCTGCTTAGGATTCCCACTCGCATTACTTCCTGCCAAATCCCTGCCGAACCTTTGCCAAATCATTTAATAGTTAACAGGAGGAGCACAATCAAGAACAATGCAGACGGACCAATCAGCAATCACGCACATTGCAGTGGACCAAGTACCGGTATAAGCACAGACCTACACCCACGCCGCAAGGACGTGCCTCGAGCGGAGTAAGAACGTAAGGACATACACCTTTCACCCTACACACACGCACGAGCTGCCTCCCTAGTTGCGGACTGCCACCACTCGGGCCCTCCTCACACCTGCTCACGGCTGACCGACTGCACTGCACCCTCATCCCCTTTCCCACCTCCTCCACCTCCTGCCTGTCCCCACCTGCTCATGATCGATCGACTTTTTTCTCCTTTCCACCTCCCACCACTGGCTTCTCCTTGCCTCCACCCTCCCCTCCACCCCCTACCCCATCCTGGGCAGCCCGTCCGGCCCCATGAGCCCCTCCTGCACCAGGAACCGCCGCATCTCCTCCTCCTCCCGCTCCGCCTCCTCCCCTCCCGCCCCGTACCCATCCCCCTCCTCCTCCTCCCACCCGCCCTCCTCCTCCCCGCCCACCAGCCCCTCCGCCTGGTCGTCTTCCCGCCACAGCCGCCGCAGCTGGGCCGCCTCCTCGCAAGCAAGCATGCGCCGGATCACCCGGGCAAGCGGGTCAGACGGCTCACGGGTGCGATGAGCCCCGGCAGTACCCCCACCCCCACCCCCACCGCCCTTGCGGGGGCCACCCGCAGCGGAACCCCCACCCCCACCCCCCTGCTGCTGGGGCTGCTGCTGGGTCGTGTTGGGTGGCGCCCCCACCCCCGCCGCCTCCGCCGCCAGCCCCCGCAGCCTCCGCTCCTGCGCGTCCCGCACCGCGCGGTGCCACTTGGCCCAGCCCCCCTGCTTGCGCAGGAAGGAGGTGATGAAGCGGTCCGCCTGGTGCTTCTGCTGCAGCTCCTCAACGATGAGACGCAGCTCCTCGGGGTCGTCGGGGAGACCCAGGTGCGGAGCGGGACGACGGGCGCCCCCTCGCCGCTTACCACCCCCGCCCGCACCCGCCTTGCGACCGGCAGCGGTCTTGGACTGCGCCTCGTCCTCCTCCTCGTCGCCCTCCGCCTCCTCGCCATCCACCTCCTCCTCGTCATCGTCGTCCTCGCCTTCCCCGTCCGAGGCCCCACCGACCCATGGGTCAGTGCCCGTCAGCCGCATCAGCCGCTCCAGCTGGTCCTGTGCAGAGGAAGGGAGCAGCAGCCGGACGGTGCACGGTCATGACAAGCATCAGGGGGCGAGGAGAGGGCGCCCCTCACGCACATGCAATCCCGTCTCCGTGCAATCCCGCCTCCCATGCCCCCCCCCCCCACTCCTCACCCGCTCATGTGCCTTCTGCGCCTTCTTGCGTGCAGCCGCCAGAGTCATGGGCCTCCCGCTGCCGCCCGCGCCCGCCCCCGCGCCGCCCGCCCCCTCCGGAGCCGCCCGGCGCAGCAGTCGGGACAACTTGGCTCGCTCCTCGCGGTTGCCGCCCGAGGAGAAGACGCGCGCAAAACACTGGGCTGCGGGGGGAAGGGGGGGGGGACATAAGGAGGGGCGGAGCGGGAGGCGGGGTGACGTGTGGGGCAAGGGCAGTGCAGCAAGAGGGTGGTAGCGCCTGGCAAGGTTCCCCTCCTGCCCGCCCTCCACCTCCCCCACCTCAACCCGCACATGCCACCCCTCACCTGCCGTCTTGCCGGGCACATGTTTGGCCACCTCCACCCAGAACTGCGGGTGGGTGGGCTCCACGCGAAAGTAGGCGGACTGGGGGGGGGGAGGTGGGGGGCAGGGAGGAGGGAAGGGAGGGAGGGAAGGTGCGGGGTAAGAAGGGGGAGGGACACAATGAAAGGGGAAAGGGTTACGTTAGCAGTGCCGCACTCTAATTGCCGTACTGCGTACCCCACCCAACCGTTCGACTACGAGAGGCCAAGAGGGGAATCCATTCTACTAACTGAATTGTGTGCTTCACTTCCTGGCGACCACCTGCACCCACCTGCAGCACCTGAGCCTCCTCCGCCGTCCAACCCCCCCCATCGGGCGGCACCTTCGTGGTTGCGGCATGTGATGACGCATGCGGCTGGTCCAATATCAGAGCCCACGGCAACGGCATCGGCGCCCTCAACGGCAGCACCAGCCTCGCCGCCGTTGCTGCTGCCCCCGCTGTCAGCATGAGGGGGTTCACCAAGGCTGCCGGCTGATGATTTCCCATGCGGCTGCCCCCACAGCCGCCGGGGTGTTGTTGCTGGTTTGGGGCCCCCTCCTGTTGCTGCTGTTGGGTTGGGTGCTGCTGCTGCAGCGGCCTAGAAGAGCGGAGGGTGGGCGGCACCAGCCCCCCGCGCAGGGTGGGCACACGGAAGAGGGGCTGCTGCGGAGGCAGCTGCTGCTGGGGCGGCGGCGGCGGCTGGGAACGTAAGGGCTGCTGCTGGGGCGGCTGCTGATATTGTTGGGGGTGAGGGGGAGGCGGGCCCCGGGGCTGTGCGCTGGGCCCTGGACCACCGTAATCCACATCCATGGCGTCGCCACCGCCGCGGGTAATGGTGCGGTGGGAGTCTCCGGGACGGGGATCAGGAACGGAAGCGGAAGGTCCTCCTTCCGCAGCAACGGTTGTGGTACAACTGATTGTAGCTGGTATGACCCGTGGGTCACCCAGGGAAGGACTTTGCCGATCTGGCCGCTGAGGTTGCGCTTCCTGCGCACCAAATCCCGATATCCGCCGTGTCGCCCGCACTGGCTGTTGTTGGCTTCCGAAGCAAGTGTGGCTTGGTGCTGGGGCATCTTGGGTCGCTGCCGCTTGCTGAGAAGGTGGCGACCGTGCCATGTTGCCTTCATCACCATCATCGACAACTTCATCGTCGTCGTCGCCACCTGAGGACGACGATGCGATGACCCATCGCCGCATCCGCAGCCCTCGTCGCCTTGTACGACACACGGCACCGTCGCCACCGCCAGCAGCGCGGTTACCGCTCTCCTGCTCTTCATCATCATCGTCTGCATCAGCATCCGTGTTGTCGTACATGGAGGCCCCCATGCTGTCGTACATGACCTGGTCCTCATCCGTCATGCCTCCCACGCAATAAGCTGCGACTGCTTCCTGGCGGTCCGGGTGCGGTTGCGGGTGCTGCACAACGTACCCCTGCCGTACGTGTACTGCATCCTTACCGGGAGTATCGCAGTTGCTGCCGTACGTAGACGGCGCTGCTGCTGCCGTTCCGTCGTACACCTGGACCTCTCCGTCCACTGCTTCCAGGTGGCATCCTTCGCCATCGCCATCGTCAACGCATATACTCGCCGCCAACGACCCAAGCTGATGTGCCTGGTCAGCGCCGACCCGTGGGTCGTCACTGCCGAGTTCTTCCATGCACGGTGACAGCATGGCGACAGGACTGCCGATTGGACCAGCTGCGAACATGGTCGTGATCGCAGCTGTACCGCCCACACCTCCAGGGCTTAATCCTCCTCCTGCATCAGGTGTAACCCCACCTGCTGCTTGCGAACCGCAGCCGGGATCGCCTTGCTGGAGCTCCTCCTCTCGCGGTGCCGCTTTACAACAGCTACCGGTATCCAAGCTGCTAGCCGCAGGTGTGCCGCAGCGCCGCACACCTCCAGTCGGCGAAGCACAAGCTGGCGCGCCGCCAAAAGCCGTGGATGCGGTTGCTGCTGCCTGGTTTAGAGGGCAAGGAGAATGGTCTAGGGAGGGAGCGGAGGAGGCCAGGAGAGAGGTTTGCGGGCTCGCCTGCAAGTCCTCCGACAAGTGCCGCTGCTCTTGCTGCTGCGGCTTCTGATGCTGCTGCTGGGTTACGGGTATTCCAAGCGGCTGCTCTCCCTGCTGCCCTCCCTGCCAAGCTAGCCGCTGCTCCAATACGGCCCTCATGACATCAAAGCTGAAGCTAGCCTCCTCCTCCGGTGTCGCAGCGCCATGGCCGTCGCCGCCGTGTTTAGGTGCAGCTGCAGCCGGGGCTGTAGCTGTAGCCGTAGCGGGTGTTCTCCCGGGCACTGCAGATGCTGCTGGGTTTTGCAGGAAATGACGATGGAGGAGAGGGTGGTGGGGAAGTGTTGGCGCAGGCGAAGCGAGGAGGGAGGACTGCCGCCCAAGGGGGCTCGCATGCAAACCCGGAATCAGCTGCCGCTGATCTTGTCGCGCCTGCTGCTGCTGCAGCGCCGGCGGCGGCGGCGACAGCCCTTCTGGTTGCTCCGGAAGCTGTTGCTGCTGCCGCCATGAACGCTGCGGCGCCGCTGCTGCTGGCGTGACATGAGGAGGGCTGCTGCCAGGGCTCGCCTGCAAGTCATCACACAGCGACCACTGCTGCTCTTGCGGTCGCTGGTCCCGATCATGGTCTTGCATTGCATTGTGTTGCTGGCCTGCTAGTTGCTGCTGGCTGGGTTCTTCTGCTTCGTCTTCTTTTGGTGGCGGCGGCGGCGGCGGCAGGTGCGATGGCGTCCCT